TTAATTGAATGAAATTACATATGTACACTATTTAATGCTGCCTTAATAAGGGTCTGGACTGATGGACGAAGGGTCTTAGGATCAATAATCGATACTGAGGGTGTAGGTGAGTGTACATTCCTGAAGAGTAACCATACAGCACCATCGTTACTTCATACTCATCGACAGAATAACTTAAATCGATTCATGACTTGAATCATCTAATTGTAGCTTTGAGTATTGACAGAAAACAAGGATTTATTGTTGATTTTTAATCTGTAAAAACTACCATTCTCATAATACCAAAATAAAATCAAAAAATACTCTCACAAGTCATTAGCTGCTGAAGTCGAATGGTGATTGAGTGACCAGAGTTAGATATGAACACCTTTACGTGCTGGCCGGCTCCAGAGGTTCAGTGGTTGCACGCAAGACTGTCAGTCTTAAGTCCGAGTCGTGCGAGTAGCAGGAGTCGTGTATTACGCACCACTTACCAGGATGAAAAGGGAGGTCCAATGCTTCCAAAGTAAAAAAAACTATCATCTCTCTCTAATACTCTACTGTAAAAACGCACAAAATACCAATCAATCAATCAAACAAATCTAAAACTTACTTGAAAATTTAAACATGGCACATTATAACGTTTTTGTAATATTTGTGTATAAAAATATTTACTCAATGGCATTGGTATCATTACTAAATTCTCATCTAATGCCACAGATAAACGTATACCTTGATAACCACTATCACTAGCTACAAATTGAAACATATCTTCCACATTCCCAACATTAAATTCCCAATAAGATAATGTCGAATGAATTAATGATTGGACAATAATTTCATTCGTATCTAATTCTTCTATACTCATAAATAAATGATTTGGTATGTGATTTGATAAATTTCTTGCTAAATTAACATAATAATTCCATAATACATGTTTAGTATGTACATTATACGGTGCCATTGGATTACAAAATATCATATCAGGCCATTGAAATGGTTCATAATCATTAATATAACTTGTTAAAATTGGATGAGATAAATAATGTTCAACAATATAAGATAAATTTGTTAAAAATCCTGCTACACCAATTAACCATAAAATTAACCAAATAAAACGACTTATATCATTTGATGCTGTGGAAATATGTGTTAATCCATGTATAGTACTACGATTTAGCAGATTAGCAATACCCAGACGAAAATTATGATGATTGTTAAATTTGTTAGAATCTTTACTGTTATCGATTTGATTGTCACTTGTAATTATTTTGTTCATTTGAGTTCTATCTGATAGTTCATTTAATGATGTAGGTAACATATGTACGTGTGTTTTTTTATCAATAAACTTTAAACTACTCATAAGTAGTTAAATAATATTCAGTAAATGAATCGTTTTGGATTAAATTACTGATAGAAATAAAATGAAAAATGCATTTTATTTAGTAAAACACTTGTAACATTGAACAAAACTCAAATGATGTAAATAATTGGTTGAATATTTGTTTTTAACAAATACAAAAATTATTCTGTTTCGAATTTATTCAATCAGTATTAGTAGTTATATATCATTATTCAATGTAAAAAAAAGGGAATTGTTTCTAGTAGTAGTTGGTCAATTAATTAACCAATGAGATGACAGTTTGTATTGTTTACAATTAGGGGATGAGAAAATCCGATTGGTTGCTTTATGTAATATACATACATGTATGACAATTGTATACAAACGAAAGTACATCTTTGTTACTATTCTATCTATACACATTTGCATTATATGTAATGTGAAACTAACAATGGTGTAGTGGAACTGATTCTCTGTTGAAGTTGGTTTAAACTGTAGATAATATAGGTATTTGTGATTCATTTTAGTGTTCGTGTCGGGAAAAAATTCTAGGTTCAACCAATAATATACGATATTGCTATTCAGTTAAATTATATAGTACTTAACTCACTAGTGAAGTTTTAGTTAGAAAATATGAGTTGGTAAAGGCAGATTAGATATATTAAATATGAAATGATTGTAATCAGTGGGGTTAGATAATATTCACGTTAGATTTTCAACTGATTGGATTTGAAATCTATTTGAGGATTCTAATTCAATGGTAGTTGAATGTAATTTTGGGTTCAAGCCATGCTGACAGATTCACTAGTTGTTGACTAGGGACGCACACCTTTTGAATAGTTTTATTTTGTGTTAAAAACGATGACAAATTTCAATTTTTTCTGGTTGTATTGGATAACAAAATACTAACTTGTTTTAATTAAATAAGTTTATCCCCTTTCTACAAGAGTGGTTTACATCACCTCACTTAATTTTGCAAGGTGTATCACTCCGGATAAGTTAATAATGTCTTACGAAATCTCATTTGGCTGTTACCGACTTACATTATCTGTGTCATAGAAGTGACACCTGCCTACTAAATGAAAGACGAGCATCTACTTCTTCCTGATTTCTTCCTCCATTGGAATCTGGTTTGTTCTCTCTCATAGTAGGTTGTTGCTGACGGTATCCGGTTTGACGGGTTTGAATTATTTTCCGTATCTATCTACTGGATGATGGCTATCGTAGTTCGCTAAGTTCCCGCCCCATACAGCAGAATTGTCTTGACATTTATATTGAAAATCCTGACTTTGGTTTTGATTGATAGTTGTTTGGAGTTCCAAATGTTCTTCAATTGTAGAAATGCAACCCTTGGTTTGCCGATCCACGCATTTACATCAGAATCGCATCCACCTTGCTCATTAATGAGGCTTCCTAGATATGTAAAGGCTTTCTCATCTTCCACAGCTTCTCCATCAAGTGTGATTTAGTTGATTAATGATGTGTTGTATCGGAGAATCTTGCTTTTTTCATTTTTGTATATGTTGAGACCTACTTCTGTTGAGGCTGCTACAACTCATAACCTTCAGATTATAAGACTGACGAGTTAATAAACTGTGCTACTAGGGCGCATATATTTCAAAATCACTGAATAATGAATACGAATGGATCATATAACTTTGTCAACGAATTTTAGATAACTCTATATACGCGTTCCCTGTTAATTCAAAACTCGTTAATTAATACATCTCTATATCCAAGTATCAGTACTCACATCTTAACTTGAATGAGGTACCATTTACTTTATTCTTTAAGCTGCTAATTCCCCATGACAGCCATAACTTGTTCAATATGAATGGTGTTTATGTCATCATCGTTAGTATGGAGTTTGAATTACTTACTTACTTACCCCTGTTACCCTCAATGGAGCATAGGCCGCCCACCAGTTTTCTCCTACCAACTCTGTCCTAGGGTTCCCCTTCCAGTTCCGTCAAATGTTTGTTCATTCCTCTCATATCTTTCTCTATTTCTCGGCGTAATGTGTTCCTTGGCCTTCCTCTTTTCCTTTTGCCTTGAAGGTTCCATGTGGGGGCTTGTCTTGTGATGCAGTTCGGTGCTTTTCGTAGTGTGTGTCCTATCCACTTCCACCGCTTCTTCCTGATTTCCTCCTCCACTGGAATCTGGTTTGTTCTCTCCCACAGTACGTTGTTTGAATCATAGGATAACCATATTTCAGTTAGTACTAACTAACTAAACATTATCCTGTCTAGTCTTTCGCACTATAATTATCAATTATCTCGGATATTTCAATCTTCTTACAATAGAGATCAGTCATAGTCCGAATAGTGCTCTCTGCTGACCAACACATATCAATACAATCCAAAGTATTGTAAACTACCAGCTAACACAACACTTGCTTCATTTCTCAAGACTTGTCTATCGATTATCTCTGATAATATTAAATATTTTCAAAACAGTGGTTCCCTTTGATAAATTTGAATAGAGAAATAAGAAGCCATATTTTGTGATATAGTACCATTTCGTGCTTTCTTGTCAGTCACATACAAGCAACATGTTATTTGTGTAAATACAGTTTTTGAAGATAAGGTCAAAATTTCTTATTTAGCATGACGGATCAATCAGACGAAAAGTACACCGCAAACCCACCTGGTCGGGACAGTACCTCCACTTCATTAGTTTCTGCCCCATACAATATAAACGTTCTGTTGTCAAAACTTTATTCGCTCAAGCAAGTAGAATCTGCACTGCTGATACATTGAACGACGAATTCAAGCTTATCACTGAGACACTTAAATTAAACGGATATCCCGAAACGTTTATTGGTCATCAGAACACAACTACGACGAAGCTGATAGCAACTGATGTGCCCAAGAAACCAGTGTACCTACAGTCACCTTTCAAGGGTGATCATTGCATGAAAATTACAACCAAACAGACTGCAGCTGCAATAAAAAGACCTACAATGCAGCTAATCTGAGGCTTATCACAACAACTCAATCGATTTCAGTTACCCCAATCAAGTCTCCAAGACCGATTCAGTCCAAATCCCACTGTATTTACCAATTCACATGTAACTGCGGAGAAAGTTACTTAGGGAGGACAGATCGCCGATTGGAAGACAGGATAGGGGAACATATTCCAAATGGCTAATCAAATCCATGATTCATCAACCTAGCCCATCATCTCAAAATCGATCAAGAAACCCAGCCTCGTCCGTTGCAAAACATCTAATGAGATGAGTGGTCATCAAATTGACCCAAAATCAGCCTTTAGAGTTGTGACATTTTTTTTTTTTTTTTTTTTCTGAAACTACTTGAAGCTATCTTGATTGGTCGGAAAAGTCCAATTTTATGTGGTGTTCAAAAACAACTGTATGTTGACCTTTGTTTACCATGGTTCTAGTGAGTGAATGTCATGCTAAATAAGAAATTTTGACCTTATCTTCAAAACTGTATTTACACACGAATAACATGTTGCTTGTATGTGACTGACAAGAAAGCACGAAATGGTACTATCTCAAAAAATATGTCTTCTTATTTCTCTATTCAAATTAAATATTTTACCGAAATATTCAACATTTCGATTAAAAAAACTATTCAGTGAATTACATCTGACTTTTTTTTTCTTAAAAAAAATAATTCTCCTCTTGTTATTTATTTCTAAACATTAAAAATTATAGAAATATGATCGTGAAGAGGCGAAAAGTTTCATTAATCGAACAGAATTCGAAAGTACAAATCGTGTACTTGAAAAATTAGCTGAAGATCTATTTACAAAATTAGCTACAGCGGTAAGTTCAAATTAAAAAATTTCATAGGAAGTAGTAAAATTTATGATTGAATTTTGTGGTCAGTCAGTCAGATGCAACGTAGAAATTCGTACGTAAGTACATCAGTTCATGTTGCCATACCACATCAGCACAGAGATGTAATTGTCAATTCAAATCCAATAGTAGTAGAGGTAGTAAAGGTATAAAGCAGTAATCAGAGAGGTTAGGATTAGAAGATATTATTCAAGAAGTATGATTCAGTGAGAAAAGTTTAGAAAGTCAAAACTAGAGGTGTTGAAGAATCCAGAAGATTAGGATTTGAGAGAACACAAAGAATAAATGCACCGGCGCCACTGCGAACGATTTTGAGCCATGTCATTCAGGGTATCTAACCATCGATTATTATCATCTTGCGGACCCCAACCAGGTAGTCGACATCTACCAACGTGACTCAGACCACTTGTCAGTGACTTCATGGATTTATGCCATGTTTTGGTCTGGCCAACCCTAACTTTCTTCCAACCTACTCCTACACTACAAAACAAAGCTCTTCGAGGCAGCCGGTTGTTAGGCATACGTAACACATGTCCCAACCACCTCAACTGATGAAGTTTGATGATTTCATCTATTGATCTGCCATTCTTATCTAGTACCCGTTTCCTAATAACAGCATCGCTCACTCGGGTGTCCCACGATATACGAGCAATGCTTCGAAGACACCTATGATCGAAAACCAGTAACCTACGAATATCTTCTAGTCTCACTGCCAATGTTTCACAGCCATAAAGTAAGACGGAGCGAACTACTGCACAGTACACACGTCCTTTAGTCAGCAAACGGATATCTCACCTACGCCATAAGTGACGCAGGTTGGCAAAAGCCAATCGAGCCTTCTGTATCCGAGCTGAGATTTCGTCAGTCACCAGGCCATCGGCACTGATGAGACTACCAAGATAAGTTAAGCGGTCTACACGCTCGACTACTTCACTCCCTATCACTAGTTCAGGTGCCGATGCCACCCAGTCATGAAGCAACATTTTGCATTTCGAGGGGGAAAACCGCATCCCGAACATGCTTGCATTGTTGCTTATGGTAGTCAGAAGACTCTGCATTTTGTCAGCGTCTTCATCAAGTAGGATAATGTCATCGGCATATTCTAAGTCATTAAGTGAGCCACCTCGTAGAAGGTCTACTCCTGAAAATTAAGATGAGGACAAGGTTATTTCTAGGCGCATCTCTATGATAAAATTAAACAAGAATGAAGAAAGTGGACATCCCTGACGGACACCACTTGAAGTGAACAATACCGTTGACAGTTCTCCATAAGCTCTCACTCGACCAGTGGTGTTCGAGTAGAGAGCTTGTATAAGGTTAATGTACTTCTATGGTACACCTTTCAATGACAGACACTTCCACAGAACCTCACGATCCACTGAGTCAAATGCCGCTTTTAGGTTCAGGAAAACAACTATTGTAGGACGCCTAAATATGTGTCTGTGTTCCAGGACCTGTCGTAGTGTGAAGATGTGGTCTATACAACCACGTCCAGGTCGGAAACCAGCCTGGTTTTCTCTAGTCTGCTCTTCACGAGCTTTCGTCAGGCGCCAAATTATTATTGAGGCCAAAATTTTAGATACTATACTAGTTAGACTGATTCCCCTGTGAATTTTGTGGTCACTATCACTAAACTCTCACTTCAGCAAAGTATTTAGAAAAAAATGAATCATAGGAAGATATATATATATATATATATATATATATATATATATATATATATACCTGCCCCCAAACTGTGTACATCATAAGAAGTTATAATCACGTGAATAAGTTGGTCCGTGGGTGGAATGACCTTGACTTGATCGATTCAATCGTTCATCATCCAATTAGTCATGATTATCATAATAATTCATTCACCTACGCTTTTTAAACATATGACCTTCTTGTTGCACGAAGATTTCATATATCTTATCTATCATAAGTATTCAAAAGATAAAATAGTCAGGCTAAATCACGCTCACAGTAGTGAAGATAGTTACAAATATGAATTGTAATGGAAGGGATATTAGGGCAGGAAGATAAAATTCACAAAAAAGTAGAAATCATCAGTGAAAACCGAAAAAAAAGGAATGAGCAATTAAGGAACTGAGAATTTGAGAGAACACAAAGAATGAATGCATGGATCTGATCCAGTGTAAACGATTTTGAGATGTCATTCAATATCTCTAATCACCAGGTTACGATTTTTGTGAAGACAAAAACCAAGTAGTCTGCATACTTATTGGTGGTTTTTGATCATAGGTGTCTCTGAAGCATTGCTCATCAAGTATCCTGGGACCACCGAGTAAGCAGTGCTATAGTTAGGAAACGGGTGCTAGGTAAGTTTGGCAGATCAATAGATAAAGTATTTGAGTTGATTGGGACATGTGTTACGTATGCCTAACCACTGACTGCCTCTTCAAGTTATATTTTGCCATGCAGGAACAGGTGGAAGGAACTTAGGGGCGATCAAGCCAAAACATGGCACAAATTCATGAAGTCACTGACAAGTGGACTGAGTCATGTCGGTAGGATTGTCTGCGAGACAATCACAACCGATGGTTCGAGGACTTGAACGATATGGCTGAAAATCGTTAGCAATTTAATCTTCTGAATCTCTTGCCACTTTTTATACATATTTCTCAAGATTAAGCTCCTTGAATAATATGTTCGAACCCTAATGTTCTCCACTACCGCTGTGATGTTTTACTTGACAATTCGATCTCTGTGTGCTGATGTAATATGGCGACTTGAACTAATGTACGTACTCACGACGTTCTTCGTTTTAGCTGACTGCTGACATTTATCTTCTGCTCAATTTTACCTAACTTCGACCAAAAAATCTTCAGAGTCCCAGTGCAAAACCATAACCAAAGGAGTATAGACGTTTATCGTGTTGTTAAGAAGGCGACTACATTCTCACGTGAGACTGAAGATCCCGAATTTCGGATTCTGAATTGTAACTCTAATTGAAAAGTAGTAAAATGTGCTCGTTAGTGGTGACTAGCTTCGTGAAGAAATTCTCGGAGTTCTAGTGAGAAAACATGACCAATGGAGTTCAACCCTGTCGAGTGTAGGCAGTAACTACTACCAAAGATAAATGGATGAGGTCATGCTAAATCTGTAGTTTTATCAGAGTTAAACATTAACACCGTTGGATACCGGCCCAGTGGTCCAGAATTTAGGGCGTTTGCGCGCAAGAGCGAAGGTCCTTGGTTCGAATCCTGTTAGTAGCGTGAGTCGTAGATGCACACTGCCACTGATGAGTCCCATACCATGACAAAACGTCCATCGAATGCTTACATGTTCCTAAAATTTACTGTTTTTTTACACAGGAAACTGAATTAAAATCATCGCTGAATGATTTACAAGGATTAATGGAAGGTAAATTAGATCGTGATGAAATGGAACAATTTCGTGAATGGTTACAAAAACGTTTCAAATCAATCAATAAACAATTAAATCCATATACACAAGAAACCGCAGGAGTTGGACAAACAGCAGATGATGCTGCTGGTTTAAAACGTGCCTATACACAACATTATCATTGTATCTCATGTGATCGTCCATTGGATGTTGCATTAAATCAAGAGTAAGTTGTGGTGGTTTTGTGTAAATTGATTATTATTTTTTGGTGTAAAATGATCAATTCTTGTGATTTCTAATGAAACTCAACAATTAATCTTCATAACTCTATCATGAAAATCGTAAAAAAAACTGTACTCATGAATGACTAGCTTTGTGAGTGAATTTTCAGAGTTCTTGTAGAGTTCGTCACTTAGCATGCTTGAGGCTATTACGAGTTTACCTTAGTCGATGAACGCGAACGAGACAATTACCAGCGTCCAGGTAGGCTACCTTGAATACAAAACTGCAAAACAGAAGACTTGGTAAGCGTAGAAAGTATATTCTACAAACACCCAGCAATCACACAATACAATCAATCATACAACTCTCGTTTATTTATACATCATAGAAACGTTCTTGCGATAGTTACGAAAATAGCACACTAAAATGCACTGCAGCCAATCACAGTCATGGATTTTCCTGGTGGGAATTGAAATCTCAAGGTCAACGGATCAACCCATGCTGGCGAACGTGAAAACCGAAATAAGGCATTTATCAAGCGAGTTTTGGGGCTCTAACATCCCCAACAGTTCTAGTGAGAAGTTTAAACCAGTGGTGTTCAACCGTGTCGGATATGAGGCAGTCACTTACTGAAGAGATATGGGTGAGGTTGTGCAATAAATAGCTTACATTGATTGATTAATGTGTTAGACATTCACACCATTTGATGCCGGACTGATTGATAGTCTAGTAGAGATCAAGTAGTCTCGCGAGAGACCGACTGCCTTGGGTTGGTGGATTCGTGGATGCGAACTGTTTGATAAGTCCTATACGAGTAAGAAACAGCCATTCAATCAATCAATGTGCGTGGTGTTCTAACAATGATTGATTCATGATTTCAATGAAATGTAACTATCTTCACAACTCTAAAATGAAACTTTTATATAATAAAATAATCACGATGGTGTTAACGACTTTCATTGTTGAACTGTGTAACAAAAACTTTTTTTATTCTGTCTTGTCTTCCTACTCTATCAACTAATTCATTTTGATTATTGACTCATAATAAATTGCCTTGATATTAGTTCAACATTTTCACATCAATATTTATGTATCTTAGGGTAAAACCTGATAAAAATTTTATAGGATTGATGAACTTAACAAGATCTTCTGTAAGTGTTATACTGTTTGTACACAGAATACAAAAATGGAAAAAGAAACAATGTCAAATGAGTTTACGTTTGATATGCAAAATATTTTCAAGAGTTTTACTCATCACTCTTCCCATAGGGTTAGAATGTGCAGTGTATGAGGGCTTAGGGTTTAAGAGTTAGGATGTTTTGGTGACTTTGTCGATCGTGTGGTACTTTGGAAGTGTCTGTTATTAAAAGATGTACCAAAGAAGTTCATTAACCTTATACAAGCTCTCTACTCTAACAATACTAGTCGAGTTGAAGTTTATGGTGAACTATCATCGGAATTGATCACTTCAAGTGGTATTCGTTAGGATTGTCGACTTTCTCCATTCTTCTCTAACTTTTCATTGGCATGGTTTTAGATATGGTACACTCATCATATGACTTTTCAGGAATTGACTTAGAATATGCCGATGACATAGTTCTATTTGGGCGAAGTCGCTGACAAAATTCAGTCTTCTGACTTCCTTCAGCAACAATGGAAGCATGTTGGAGAAGTGGTTCTTCCCCTCGAAATGCAAGATGTCACTTTAGGATTGGCTTGCACCGGAACCCAAACTAGTGGTAAGGATTGAAGTAGTTGAGTGTGTTGACCGCTTCACCTATCATTTCTAACAGATCACCTACTGAGCCATGTTAGCAGATGTAGGCTGCCAGGTTGCGGTGCGCCAGACAATAGTAACCGATAGTTAGAGACTTTAAATGACATGGTTCAAAATCTTTTGTAATGGTGCAGTTTGATCCATTCTTTGTGTTCACCCAAATCCTAAATTTCTGAATTCTTCATCACCTTTATCTTCTGTCTCTTTTTAAGTATATTTCACTAGATTCTACTTACTGGATAATTTATTCGATCTCTAATATTTTTTGATTGCCGCTAATACTTCTACTACCTCTACTACTATGGGATTTGAATTGACAATTGCTTGTCTGTACTAATGTGTTATGGAAACCTGAACTGATGTACGTACGTACGTACGAAGTTCAACGTTGTAACGACACATCAATGCACTGAGTGCTGATTGGCTAGTTCATACATTCATAATCTGCTCATTCTATTGGTTACAATAATTAACATGCCTGTTAATGGCTTAACAAGTGATAAGGCTTAACTCTCAGGATGACTCATCGTAATTTATTGATTTTTCTTTCAAGCTACAATTTGATTGGTTACTTATTTGATAACGAGCAGCAGTGTAAGTAGTGGGATTTGTGGATGTGCACTGCTGATGAGTCCCGTACCAGGACGAAACGGCCATCCAGTGTTTTCAGGTTTCTAATGTTTTTTAACAATGAGTGATCCCACTATTATATCGATAAATGTTGATATTCAGTATGTCTAATTCTTATTTTCATTATTCATTTTAAGAAATTGCTCACTAAATAAAATTGATCATTGAATCCTTCCTAAATGGAATACGTACTAGGTCAATAACTAACTCATCAATATAAGTTAATTATATACATTCATATATTTTTAATGTAACAGATCTTTAGGTAGTTCTTCAGCTGACAAAAATGCATTTCCATCGAGTAAATCCATACGACCGTATACCACATTTGATGCGGAAAGTTTACGTCAACAAATGCAAACGTGAGTTTTATTAGCTAGCTATCGATTGTATGCATCATCTGTATTTCGCTCACTCTCACTGTCTAACAAATTTCTATGTAGTGCACTTATGCATAGATTGTTTTTTGCTCATATTAAAAGAGAAGAAAGATTAATGAACTCTTTTGTCATTATTGTTTTGTTTGTGAATAGAAATTATAAGGTGATCTAATGTAGATAGGATAAAATAATAATCTATTTAATAAAAAGTGTAATTATTTTTGATCAGTTTAATATTTGGTCATTCACTGTTGGAGGTCAAGGTCAGTATCATGGTTCAAGAGAGTATTAGGATTTAGAGTTACTCATATTCGCCTGCTACCCTCTATGGATCATAGACCGCCAACCAGAATCCATCAACTAACTCTGTCCTGGGCTTTCTTTTCTAGTTCTATCCAATTGCTGTTCGTTCTTCTCATGTCTATCTCCACTTCCAGGCGTAATGTATCCCTTGGCCTTCCTCTTTCCCTTTTGTCTTGAAGATTTCTGGTGAGGGCTTGCTTTGTAATGCATTTGGGTGCTTTGTTTAAATTTTGACCTATCCACTTCCAGTGCTTCTTTGTGATTTCTTCCTGCGCTGGAATTTGGAGCTAGTTCATATATAATATACAATAAAGTTTTATTCAAACCTTAGACACAACTTATAACTCTGTATCTAACTATTCTTAACCTTAACTTCAATAGTAATCCTGTAGTGAACGTGAACACAGGTGGGGCAACCGAACTGTATTTAGCGTAATTACAGAGTTACTCAGTAAAATCGGAAAACCATATCGTAAATCAATAATTTGCAAAATATCAGTTCATCATATCGAACTGGACTGTTCCTGCTGCAAAACATCAATCCATTGTCACTATTCATGCGTTTCATGCAAATTCCATTGTGTTCTAACTCTTCTTACTTTCTTGATCTTCTCCCATCTTCTACTGCCAGACATTACGTTGACACTCACGTCATATACTACTTATAAGTAGCTCACACCACAATCCTAAGAAATGTTATAGCGAAGTGTTATTTCATTCTGGATTGATATACTGATTGTGATCTTTAAGCTACGCCATCTTGATTTTTTGGTTTATTCAAAATACTTAATCTCAGAATTTTGATGACACATAAAAACAACCCTCAAGAAATTCATTAAATTATCAAGGTTAATTAAAATAGGTATGACTGACATACATGGAAAAATCTTACATTTTAGTAAGATTTTAGAACTTTAAAAGCTTAATTCACAAAATAAGAAAGAACAATATCTCAAACAACATGGAATATATCCAAATTTGTGGGTTTTTTTTCATCAGCAGTTCATTGACAAAATAATTGGCAATAAAATGAATTTGTGGCAAAAATTCGATCTTTGCAGACATCATCAACGATCCAGATCACCCAGTAATCGTGATTGATAATCACGAAAACTTGTTTCCGATAATTTTATTCTCACTATAGAGTTGTGTAGATTGTTGAGTCTCATTAAAATCATGAATCGATCATCCACTGTTAGAGAGAAACCTGGAAGCATATCAAGCCATCAGCACTGATGAAACTGCCGAGATGAATGAAGCTCGTCTATTTCACTCCCTATCACTAGTTCAGTTACCGATGCAAGCCAATCTTGAAGCAAAATTTTACATTTCGAGCGGAAGTACCGTATCTCGGAAATGCTTGCATTGTTGCTCAGGGTGATCAGAAGATTCTGCAGTTTGTCAGGGTCTTCACCAAGTAGGACTATGTCATCGGTATATTCTAAGTTAACCAGTGAATTTCCTGGTAGAAGTTCCAATCTTGAAAATTCACATGAAGATAGTGTTATATCTAGGAACAGGTCTATGACAAAATTAAACAACAATGGAGAAAGTGGACATCCTTGACGCACATCACTTGAAGTAATCTTTTCCTATGACATTTCACTATAAGCTCTGATATGACCAGCAGTTTTCGAGTTGAGAGCTTGCATAAGGTTAATGTATTTCTTTGGTACACCTATCAATGACAGACACTGCCACAGAACCTCACTATCAACAGAATCGAACGCCGCCTTAAGGTCCAGGAAGCCTTCTATTGTCGGACACCTATATGTATGTCTGTGTTCCGGGACCTGTCGTAGTGTGAAAATGTGGTCTATACATCCACGTCCAGATCGGAAACCAGCCTGGTTTTCTCTAGTCTGTTCTTCACGAGCTCTAGTTAAGCGTTTAAGTATTATCAAGGTTAATAATTTAGACAGTATATATTAGTTAGACTGATTACTCTGTGACTGTCACAAGATGAGTTTTTTCCTTTCATATAAATGTAATTACGTACATTTTCCAAATTCTACCTAATATCTCAATAAGGGATAGCCGTTTCATCCTATAATATGAGAATACTCAGTGGCAGTGTACATTTATAACCACCCTTCTCAGGGTAAAAGAACCCAGGAGCCTCGGTTTCGCACGCGAACACATGGCCTCTGATTTATATATATATATACTCAGTAAAATAGGAAAACCATATAGTGACCGTTAATTTGCAAATCTTCAATCCATCATCAATCCATTGTCTGACATTTCACTTATTTATGCGTTTCATACAAATTCCATTGTGTTCCCACTTACTTCCTTTCTTAATCTTATACCCATCTTCTGCTGCCATACATTACGTTTACACTTGCGTCATATACTACTTATTAAGTAGCGCGCACCACAGAAGCAGTTTACTAGAAAATCAGTTAAAACGAATTGAAATAATAAGAAAAAACTATTTGATATCAAAATGTCCGCCAAAAAATCGAACATTTATCAATGAAATTATAAATGAGTGATAATTTTTTTAAAATTTCGTTTTATAATGAACAGCTAAACAGTAAGACAGACTGGAATATTCTTATAAACTATTGAAGTAGTATAATCATTTCGATAGTGTAGAGAGAGATTGAATAAATAAGAGAATATTCATAGATTCTATTTCGAAAATAAATAAGTCAATGAGAAAAAAAGAGGAATATTGAAAGTTGAATTTATGAAAATTGAATTATTGTTGTTATTCAATCAAACTATAAAACATCGTTGATACTTAAGATATTAAAAAAAGCATACTGTATAATAAGTAGTATTGTGGTGTGTGCTACTTATACGAACGATATAAGTAGTAGGCACGTGAAAGAAGAAGTCTCATGGTCAGAAGAGGAAAACAGAAAGCAAATGGAGCAAAAGCAAGAAGTAAATGGAGTGGTATCAACAGGAAGGAAAGGAAGCAACAACAGGAATCGAAGAAGAAGGATGGAGTGTTGGAATTCACGACTCAAGGATGGTGTGCAAATAGAGTGTTCAATGTAATGTTTTCGTTTTTAATTGACTCAGTGTGTGTAAATTTGTATAATACAATCTTCCTCGCCTGTCTCAGTCTTCTCAGTATACTAATGTACATTACATTGATTTGAGACGCTCGTTATTGATTAATTAGGCGAATGAATTCTCGCGAGGCTAGTGAAAAACTAAGCTCCGTCTGGTCGCTACCAGTTCGAAGACGGGATAAAGAGAATGGTTGGTCATAGGGTTGACAACTCCAAATCGTCGAAAAACTAACTCTCTGACTCTCTGGAGTGGTTGCAGCCAGTTCGAAGACGGGATAAAGAGAATGGTTGGTCATAGGGTTGACAACTCCAAATCGTCGAAAAACTAACTCTCTGAACAACACTAACTAGAAAAAGTAATTCAAAACATTTAAACTCCTCCTAGGCAGTTGGAAGGTTTACATTTAAAAGAGTTTGAAGCCTCATGATGAAAGCCAAGTTTCTTCTGAAGTCATGAGGCTTAGGTTCCTTCTCACAACCAGGATAACCATTCATTCAGGTACATGGAATATTCGAACAATATGGGAGATTGGAAGACTGTTCCAAATTGATGCAGAAATAAAAAGATACAACTTGGAAATGCATGGAATCAGTGAAACTCATTGGACAGGACGCTAGACAACTAAGACTAGCTTCAGTAGAACTGCTGTTATACTCCGGCCATGTACAACAAAATGCCTTACACTGATGCTATCCAAACAAGCACGAAAAGCACTGATAGGATGGTAATCTCATGGACCTAGCATCATCCAAGCATCCTTCAAAACAAAGAAAGAGGACATTACAATAAACGTCATCCAGTGCTACCAACCTACCATCAACTACAATGAAGACCTTAAAGATTAATTCTACGAAATGCTGCAGTCAATCGAAGAATTTGACCATTCTAATGTGATACCTGAATTCCAATACTGGCGTGGACAACATTGGATATGAAGATATCATGAGATGACATGGACTGAGAGAAAGAAACGAAAATTGTTAGAGATTTTCAAATCTATTTACCTTAACTTAGAATCTTCAAGGCCTAAAGAAAAGAAGACCAAATAACACATTAAGCAGAGTATTGAAGACAGATATCATAAGAATGAACACCAAATATATAGAACTTGTAAAGAAGCCAGAGGACAGAGTAAGTTGACGAAAGCTGCTCGGTAGTCTATGCTCCGTTGGGGGTTTCAGGTACAATAAAGTAAATAAGCAAGTGAGAAACTAGAATCGTTACGCTTGAACTATGCCATCGAGGCAGATACTCACCAATAAATGAAACTGGCTGATGAATATGTAATATTTGTAATTCTCCGAAGTTGAAAATACGGATCAGTCTTCGGACAGATCAGTGTTCACCAAGGCTTATAATCACTTTGATTAAATTTTTCTATTAAAGAATTTACTGAACACAAATTTTATTGACTTAATTAATTATTTTTTGCCATAAAACTCAAAATATTTTAAATATCCTAAAAAGAAACCTTTCTTACCAAACCACCCAAAATAATTGATATTCGATTTTAAATTTCACTCGAAACAAACTAAAACTTCTTATTATAGCTTTCTGGAGATTGTTAAGTTTCACAGAAATCATGAATCGATCAATGTTAGACCACCATTAGGAATCTGGAAGAAGCAATGGACAGCTGATTTATGTGTCTATGAGTGACTAGATTCATGATGAATTCCTAGAATTTTGGTGGGAAATCATTACCAGGAGAGTTCAGTCATATGCCGAGCAGTTATCCACCGAAGACAGTGAGGTCACACAATACTTTGAATTGGATGGCACCGACTCAGTGGTGTAGTAAATGTTTAGCGTTCGTACAAGAGATTACGGATGCCAAATTCGATTCCCTCATGCAATGGGTTTGTAGACACACACTGTCAACTAAGAGTCCCATACTCGGACAAAACCACAATCGATTGCTTCTTCCAAATTTCTAATGCTGGTCTGATTGATCGATTCATGATTTTACTCAAACCTGATTGGTGCACTTTTTCAAGGTCATTGATTATTGATTACTAATGAGTCATCCACCACTCATCTTCATGCGTATTTTTATTTTGTCTACAGCCGATCTAACAAAACTTTTTATATCGATCCACCATTTAAACGGTAGTTATTTCATTCATTTTATCAAATCGACCTTAAAAAAAAATTCAAATTTTGTTCAATGTTTATGTGTGTGTGTGTGTGATTTTAATTGTTTTTTTTTTCCTACCATTTTAATGCACAATTCAATCACGAAGAAAAAAATCTACATTTTTTCGCTTGATTTTTTTCGTTCATCAAATTAATTATGTCATCATTGTCAACATTTTGCATGTAATTCGCATTCAGCCTACTTTATGTTATGTCATCCTATGCCGTGTTATTTATTTCACTGATGAAAATTATGTGTTCATGTTGTTGTCGTTGTCGTTGAGTCGAAGAATGATTCTGTGCAAACAATAATTCGTGAGAATTTTGAATTTTCCGCCTTTGTTTGATTGTATTGTTACTTTGCTTTCATTATTGAATAATCATCTGCCCGCAATAATCAAGTAAAAAGCTTCTGTTTCATTTGTTCGCATCACTTTCAATCATCAAGTTTGTTTTGTCCGATTAAGTATAGTTGTTGGTTCATTTATTGATTTTGTGTGTAAATCACATATTATTGATTGATTGATTGATTGATCGGTCGGTCATTTGAAACAATGTGATAATTTGTTTCCATTTTTCATTGTTTCTGTTGGTTGCGAACTGATAATGGTTTGATGAGATGATAATCTATCTATCTATCTATCTATCTATCGATCTTGTACATTCCAAACTGAATAGAGATGCTTTGTGATATTGATTAACAGTGAAATCTAGTGAAGGAATTACATCTTATCTATCCTCCTAATAGTCAAGTTTCATCAACCTCTAACATTGATGGTGTGGATGTATGTGAATGAATGAATGGTAAAGTTGATGTGTGCCATTGGTGGTATCTCACCATCATCATCATCATCATCATGGGTGCCTTGCAGTTTTAATTAAGACATATTTTTTCCATTGTCCAACACTTAACACCACCTTGCCAGTTTAATGAAACAAACTCTTCTTTCTCTCTGACTCATCTAGAGACACTTGTGCCACCCCGTGTTTACACGCTTCCTTCCCGATACCCCCCCCTTTTTCCCCCCCAATCGTCTATCTTCTGCATCCAGCTGTTTTGTCTCCGCCCCCCCTTCCGATATGTCACACGTTCAGTTATATTTGTTCTTATAATATCATATGTATTTTGGTTTCCGTCAGTCTCATTTCGATCCTCCCAATGTGTAATACTCCCCCCTTTGTTGTGCTTTTCTGGCAATGTCATGTATTTATGGATGTTCTTCTGTGTGTTGATTCTGCTCTCGTTTCTGTTGAGCAGCTATAATAAAGACACACAATCACCTTATTGTGTCGTGTGTGTACAGGTGCTGGATCAGTTTTTGTTTTCTCTCTCATACCTCTAAATTGGTAATATGTGTGTCAACTAATCTAACTATATGACCCTCTACACACACTGTGCCACCCTGTTTAATGTCATATTGCCCGTTGGTTACCATTACTGTATGTAGCTGCCACACATACAATGTAGTCGCAACCATTGTTGCACGTACAACATATGTGTGTGGTATGATGTGGTCTGAGGTATTGGTTCCAAGCCAATATGTACACCCTGACGTAAACACTAGACTAAGTTGCTTTCAAAAAAATCTAATGGAATACATATTACTTATGTAAAATATCCCATGGTACCCACATATTTCATAATTGTTCCACTATCATTGATGTCAGTCAGTTATCAATGAAGAAAAAACAAATGTAGATAGTATGGATACACACATGCACACATTCGGCCTGTGCTCACACAGAAAATTTAATTATTACACACTTGGATACCCATATAACAAAACCCTAATTTAGTATGACCTACCGTTTACGATCAACAAATTCATTTATAAATAGTTTTAAAATATCATGTGACCAGGCAGGAAAACAGATCTTCTTCGGTTCGTGTTCATTGTAGAATCAATGAAAGCCATATTGAACATTAGACAGGCGTCCTATTGTGAATAGGTTTTCAAAGGGATTTCTTGTGATTCTACTGTAAACCTAATGACTTATCTCGTTAAACATGAAAGTGTTCCGGTGAATGTTATGTAAAGATCATGTAAGCTTACTGAGGTGAAAGTTTTGATCTCAGACGAACTAGTTATGGTTCATCTATATATGTTCCGATTCCAGCCAAAGTTTATACAACAATCGATCAATTGATAACTAGTGATCTACGCGTTTCGTGTTAACTGACACTTATCGATTGATATCACTGATCTATTCAGAATCACATTAACCTCCTAGTAGGAAAATACCGTAGAATATCGTAATGTTGTATACTACTAACATAGTCATACACATTATTCACTAATAATAACATATCCATACCGAAATCATTTTTCACCTATAGTTCATATTATACGTAGTAAACAAACAATGTTGACAAAGAAGTACATAAAATGTAACAAAAAAACTTGTTATTTAACAACAACAAGTTTAAAATGTTAATAATTACATGCAAATGACCTTGATATTTTCAAATTCACGCCAACAACAATCTAAGTTTTGTTTTAAACAACTAAGCCATGTTCTGTCTGTTTGTCTGTCCGTCTACCTATCCCATGAATTAAAAACAAACACGCACATTACATTACTGTACAATCATAGTTCTGTTGTGTTGTGTTATCTTCATGTTTTTATTATTTTTGTTTTATTATTTCGTGATTTAGAACAAGTAATAATTATTACGATGTTTATGGTGGTACACCACGTCCTTGTGGTGGACAATACACAGCTGTTTCATCATCAACAACATCTAAAAAGAAACCACATGTTACACAATGTAAAAGGTTAGAGTATTTTGATTCATTTATTATTTTTAAAAAAGTGATATTTTTTGATGTAATGAGGTAATGAATGATGTGCATTGTTTTAAATGATTAGGTTGTTTGTTAAGAGGAGAATGTAACCGATCATCGTTAGACCATTGTCAGAAATTTGGACGCTGTCTGGATAGCCGTTAAGTCGTGGCATGGTATTCATTAGCAGTATGATTTCAACGATTACACCAACTCGAGGGATTCGAAACCTAGGAACTTGGGTCTAGCGAGCGGACGCTCAACTTCTGGACCACTCAGACGGTACCTGACGTTACTAGTGGTGCTAGTGGTTTATTGGTCGGGAGGTTAAACATTCGCACACAAGATCGAGTGTCCTGGGTTCGAGTCCTGTGAGTTACAGTTGTCGTAGATACGCTGATTAGTCACATACCAGGACGAGACGGCCGTTCAGTGCTTCTAGTTTTCTAATGATGGCCTAGCATTGATCGATTCATAACTTTTATAAAGTGACTTAAAAATTTCAACAACCCCATAATAGAAAAAAAGTTTACTCATCAGTTAGACAATCTAAGAAGCAGTGTTTTTAAGATGGTGGAGAAAACTTGTAGCTCAGGTTGATGATTGTGGTGGTGTTTCGTTCTCTGAGCTGGTTGTTTTGGTTGTAGAGCTTTCATTGTTCTTCTGAACAACATCATCAGCACAAACTTCAGATAGAAGTGAAGCATTCGAATTTGACCTGTCGTTGTTTGCAACACACACACCGACAATTATGGACACACATTTGATTGGAATAATGTGGAAATACTGGGTAGGGGAGGACAAAGAACACTAGAGAGTTTTTAGAAGCTTGGCACTCAGGTCAGTTAGCAATCAACAAACACACAGACATTGACTCAATCTTTCAACCAATTAGGAAAATCATGGGTGACACAGGATCAAGAAACAGATCAAAAGGGGGAGGCAACCAAAACAAAGTTGCAAACAACGACAGGTTTAAGGTCAACAGCAACCAATCAAGATCGAGGTTAGCAGAACAAGCTACAGGTCGAACGTGGAGAAATTCGAATGCTTCACTTCTATCTGAAGTTTGTGCTGATGATGTTGTTCAGCAGAAGAACAATGAAAGCTCCACAACCAAAACAACCAGCTCAGAGAACGAAACACCACCACAATAAGAAGCAGTGTGTACACACAAGACAAGTACTGTAGAAATTGTATTGTGGAGACTGAGTTTTACTGAAATTGTGAGCCGATCAATGTAAGACCACCCCATTGTGAACCTACATTCGGTGCACTAGTTCAATCAGTGGTCAAGAGATTAGGTGTTCATGTGCAAGATCCAAGGTTCTGGGTTCAGTTTTCTTCTTCAGGATGCACACTACTGATGAGTCTCATACAACGACAAAACGGCTATGTAATGAATTTAGATAGCCATAGCTTAATCTAAAAATGATCGGTTCATGATATCAGTGTAACGATTATTTTGGTCACTGAACTAAATGGGTTAATAGGTAACTTACATTTGCACGTTATTTTCCAGTCTCATACTCTCAGTTTTGTTGACTCCTTACAGCCATAATAATCGGTAGCTAATTAGTTTTAGTGACGTTGTAGCTTATAACTTTCAACTCAAATATAAATCATCGGTGATTACATTAAGTGGTTTATTCAATTTGAAGTTTTCACTATTACTCAGATATAAATTAGAATTATTCGAACCATTAATTACAACGTTTTTAAGATAACAATATCACAGGACAAATAGTCAAACCCATTAAGAGTTTTGACAAATCAAGCATTCACACAGATATGGCATCTCGATGTCGAGAGAGAAAGAGGATTATACACATAGAGGCAGGCTATTGAAGAAAGCCTAATATACATTTCATAACTGATTTTGTTATACGTAACTTAAGCACCTTTTCAGTTATTGATAACGAATATGATATAGACCTAAACTGCACCGTTCCTTACCATCCAATATAGTTCGGTCAAACAGTTAACAACTCCTTCAATTATTGTGCAATATTGATCTTGTCCCTTTCAGTCTTCTTTTACAGTCTACTCTAATACCAGACAGCTAACTGAATGGTGTAGTAATAGGTTGGGATAAAGCTTAGGGCTGCCAAACCAAAACATGACAGAAATCCATGAAGTCATTGTTAAGTGGACTGAGTCATGTCAGTAGCTGTCGAATACCTGGTTGAGGCCAGTGAGATGATAGTAATTGATGGTTAGAACCTAGAATGACATGAATCAAAAACGTTTGCAATGGCGCAGGTGTATTCACTCTTTGTGTTCTCTTTCGTTGTAACCTTCTGAATTACTCATCACCTTTCTCTTTCTCCTTCTAAATTTACCTCACTAAATTATACTTCTTGAATTAACATCTGCTAATCCTAATCTCTCCGATTACTTCTAATACTACTACTAGCTCTACTACTATGGGATTTGAAGTGACAATTACATCTCTGTGTGGTAATGTGGCATGGCAACTTGAACTGATGTACGTAGGTTCGAAGTTCTACGTTCTGACTGACTGACTGACTGAATGGTGGAGAAAGTTGGAGCTAAGGATGAATGATGATTGTGGTAGAATTTTGTTCTCGCTGAATTAGATGTCTTGGTTGTGGAAATTTCATTGCTGTTCTTCTGTTGAACAACATCATTAACATAAACTTTAGATAGAAGTGAAGTTTCGAATTCCTTCATGTATGACCCGTAGCTTGTTCTGTGCAAAGCTTGACACTCAGATCAATAAGCAGTCAACAAACACATCGACATTGATCTAATCTGTCAACTAATCAGAAGAACCATAGACATACCTCTGATCGGAAAACAGATCAAAATGGCATACAATCATACTGAAGATACAAACAATGGCAGGTTTAAGGTCAAAAACAACTAATCCAGATGGAGTTTAACAGAACCAGCTGCAGGTCAAACGTGGAGAAGTTCGAATACTTCAATTCTACCATGAAGTTTGTGTTGATGATGTTGTTCAGAAGAACAATGAATGCTCTACAATCAAAATATCTAACTCAGAGAATGAAAACACCACCACAATCATCCACCTGAGCTACAAATTTTCTCCACCATCTCAATTCAGGTTCATCGTCGGGTTTCAATTATTAAAATTATTGGTTTGGAGTACAAATCTAATCAGTGGTACATCCTTCTACAGCTTGGTCAATCTTCCGACAGAAATAACAAAAATTTTTCGGGAAACTAAGTAATTACGATTAGAAGTTAATGTACCCACTCTCATAAGTGAACTGAATCATAAACATCATTCCCATACAAGATATATCAGTTCGTAAGCGATGATATTACGGTTACCCTATATTCGATCTGACTTTTCATGGTCTTATGTACAGTGACAAGCATTTGCTTTTGATCTCTAGAGATTTATGTCGATATTTGTGAATATCAATGCTTCATAACCTATGGTATCTGTAAGTTATTTAGTTTTATTTTTTTTACTACTTACAAGTAGTTCAACTTTTTAATATAAATCTTTTGTTAAAAATATAACGATTTAAATCAATTTCATTTAGTTCTACTCATGATCATGAAGTTACCACAAAGTCTTCCGTTACATATTCTTACAGGTAATTACATTGTTTATTAAATTTCTATTATTAAAAAAGATTATTATTTTTTAAAATGATGTTATTCACTCGTTCTCCTACAACTGTAGGTTTTTAGTGACTGCGTTAAATTTTGAAATAGGGTTGACCAATTTAGTTGTTCGTGATCTGACTCCAATTTGGACGAACAGTCGAATATGTTATAAGATAAACCTCCACTTAAATTTCCATATATCCACTGTAGGTGAATACCGTTTTATGTGACAGTAGAAATGAGATTCAAAATACTGATTCAGTTGGATGAGTTTAGTCAGACAGACAAACAGATACAACGCAGAACTTCGTACATAAGTACATCAGTTCAGGTTGCCATACCACATTAGCACAGACACGTAACTGTCAGTTCAAATCCACAAAAAGGGGATTCACCTGCGCCATTGCAAACGATTTTGAGCCATGTCGTTCAAGGTCTCTAACCATTGGTGACTTTCGTCTCGCGGACCCCAACCAGATAGCCTACATCTACCAACATGACTCAGTCCACTAGTCAATGACTTCATGCATTTCTGCCATGTTTTGGTCTGGCTACCCCTAACTTTCTTCTAACCTATTCCTACACCACGAAACATAGCTTGTCGCGGTAGTCGGTGGTTAGGCATACGTAACACATGTCCCAACCACCTCAACTGATGAAGTTTCACTACTTCATCTATTGATTTGCCATCCTTACCTAGAATTCGTTTCCTAACGATAACATTGCTTACTCGGTTATCCCAAGATACACGAGCAATGCTTCGGATATACCTATGATCGAAGACTAGTAACCTAAAAATGTCCACGGATAAGTTTAGTTCATGTGATTGTTCATTTAGACAGATATGAGAATCAAAAGCGTAAACAGATGAAGAGAAGCAAACTGGAGACGGTAAATAAGCCGACTCTATGCAATGAAGAAGCATGACTCAGGCATGCGATAAGCGGAGTATGCATGCACACATGCACATACTAGAATAGAAACAACCAAGATTATTTACAAGGTCGATAGATCTGTGAACAATCAGAGAAGAATGAATGTGTTTGTACACATAATAGAGGATTGATCTTGATAGTTTTGCCTCATTGTACTTATATGGTATAAAATGTCAAACTGGTGCATGTAAGTACCAAGTTCTACAACTGACTGACTAGCTGCTGAAAAGTAAGGGGTACTCGACAACTGTTTCATCTTACTTACTATGGGATTCTTTGGCGGTAATCTCTCACAACCTGACCACGGACAGGGTACAGAACCTTCAAGTCCTATAACCGATGCTAGTGTTAGAACCTCTGTGTTAGTATTCGATTTTAACCAATTCATGTCATAACATTATTATCCCTGGATAAAACTGATGACAAAAGTTTTTCTCTAAGCCTATCAAGAGGGCTGAAGTTCTCGGCTTCGATTCTTGGATAGATAGATAATGATCACTTACTTCTAATGGGTGGGAACATTATTCAGTCTTTCTAGGAAATCAACTGACATGTCAAAATCGATCCAGTCTATCATTCAGCAAGAGAAAAGATGAATACCTGTACAGTTAGTTTTAAGTGAGGCCAAACGATAAGTTAACCAAAGTAAATGTACGAAAAACCTGTCGCTTTATTTCCAAGCACGTGATGATTTTACTGTGTAGAAAGATTGTGTAAACTATATAATCATGAATGAACTATTTTAAGACCATCGTTAGTGTTATGTTCGTCATATGATAAGCTTGAAGCTATTACGAGTTCACCTTAGTCGATAAATGCGAACGAGACAATTACCAGTGTCCAGATAGGCTACCTTAAATCCCAAACTGCAAACCAAGTCTTGATAAGCGTAGAAAGTCTATTCTACAAACACCCAGCAATCAAAATACAATCAAACACACAACTCTCGTTTATTTATACATCATAGAAACGTCCTCGAGACAGTTAAGAAAATAGCAAACTAAAATACACAGCAGCCAATCACGGCCATGGATTATCCTGGTGGGAAATGAAATCTCCAGGTCAACTGATCAGCCCGTGTTGGCAAACGTGAAATCCAAGATAAGACATTTATCAAGCGAGTTCTGGGGATCTAACATCCCCAACAGTTAGAAACCCACAAGCACTGGACGGTCAGTTCGTCCAAGTATGGAACTCACCGGTAGTGTACATTTTTCGATCCTGGATTAGAGCATTGAGGGATCAGAGTTTGACATTATACCTTTCAAAGCTGGCTCATTGGTTCAGAGGTCAAACATTCTAAAACGTAAGGCCGAAGTTCCTGGGTTCGAAAGCTGAGAGTAGCAGGAGTAGGATGCACACAGTTGATGAGTCCCATACCTGGCCGAAACAGCCATCCCCTGCTTTCAAGTCTCTAATGAAGGTCTAACAATCGTTCATTCATGATTTCATGCTAAACCTGCGATCTCCATAATGCTCTGAGAGAGAATACAACACATGTGAAATCATTCTCCTTAGTTTATAAATATTTTACTCTAAATCACATTAATTATTCACTATTTACTTTGTATACACATTGTGGTTTTTTTTCACAAAAACAATGTCTTTCTTTCTTACTTTAGGGAAACTCTTAGTATACAAGGAATGGATGGACATATTTATCGTGGTTCACCGGTACATGAAATTCAACAGTCAACAAATAATAATACTGATCTTATGTCAACAATGAAAGATGATGAGAATTTTGACAAAGATAATGAACGAAACAAAAAATTACCGCCAGTTTCAATTATAAATCGTTCTGTCAAAACTGTTACAACAACTAGTAAACAACCTCAAGTAAGCAAAGCATAGTTAGTATACATGATGATGATGATGATGTTAAGTATGGACATTGGTTACCGCATAATTAATGTCAATAATCTTTCAGTTCTGTAAAGAGATCAGTCACAGGTCACAGTAGTAGTAGGAGTAGCAGCTTGAAATGTGAAACTAGGTTCGAGTCCCATTAGAGAGCACCATTTGGCTTACGATCTACAAGTACACCTTGTTGACAAATGCCAACTAGCATAAAACTCTATCTCTCACATTGCGATTGGCGAGAAACACATGATCCCACATGAGACTGTGGATTAAGCATCAGATTTTATCGAGAGAGAACATAATACAAGTTAATCGTTGGTTTAATATGAAGCATTAAGATTTGACTATTCACCTTATTATATGTCATCGAATCTAGTAGAACTCACAATTTTTTAATCACTGAGTAATAATAGATGTTATATATTTCAGATACTTCTTAGTGCTGATACACTACCTTCTTCAACCACCATCCTACACTTCAACCTAGTGTACTCCATTTTAACTCACTTAAACTCGTGAGCACATTGAAACTTCAATCAGCACTAGGTTGGATCTGACATGACCCAATGATGAATCACACTTGTAAAGCTGGATGACACAGGATCTAGTCCAATGAGGGAACATCACTCCCTTTAAGATTATAGGCACTATACTTCGAGGACAAACTCCAAGTAGTACGAAACTGTCAATCATATCCAACCGTAAACCTTGTAGTATTGATTATTTTTTTTCTGTAAACGGTTAACAAGAGAGAGAGAGTGAGACATTCATGTTATGCTCGTCACTTGATATGCTTGAAACTATTACGAGTTCACCTTAGTCGACGATAGACGAGAATGAGACAATGAACCTGTGTCCGGATAGGCTAGTCTGATCCGTTGACCCAAAAAACGAACTAGCGAAAAAGTCTTGATATAGCGTAGAAAGTGTATTCTACAAACACCCAGCAAGCACAATGATCTTAAGCACACAAATAGCGTTTATTTATATACATCATGGAAACATCTCTGGGAGAGTCACAAAAATAGCACACTAAAATAACACAGTAAACAATAACAGCCAAGAAATTCCCTTGTGAAAAATGTGATATCAAGGTCAACTAATCAGTCCATGAACCAAAATAAAGACATTTATCAATCGAGTTATAGGGATCTAACATCACCAACAATTCGATATTTCAATCAAAATATCTAACTAGTTGTGAAGATAGTTAAATTTCTACACATTTGAAATCATCAATCACTCATTGTTAGACCACCATTAGGAAACTGGAAGCACTGGACGGCCGTTCCGCCCTGGTACAGGACTCATCAGCGCGTCCCCACGACTCCTGCTCCTTACAGTATTCGAACCCGGGACCTTCGGCATTGTAGGCAAACGCCTTACCATCGGATCACTGAGCCGGCATCCAACGGTGTTAATGTCTAACTCTGATTGATCTACGGATTTTGCACGACCTCACCAATTCGTCTTTGGTAGTTACTGCCTACACTCGACAGGGTTGAACAGCATTGGTCACGTCTTCTCAACTAGAACTCCGAGAATTTCCTCACGAAGCTAGTCAGTAGTGAGCACTGTTACGATGTTTCGGGGCACAGTGGTCCGATGGTAAGGCGTTCGCCTGCAATGCCAAATGTCCCGGGTTCGAATCCTGCGAGGAGCAGAAGTCGTGGATGCGCACTACTGATGAGTCCCATACCGGGACGAAACGGCCGTCTAGCGCTTCCAGGTTTCGAACGGTGGTCAAACAATGATTGATTGATGATTTCAAATGTGTAAAAACGCAAACCTTCAGAACTGTGCCCCAAAATAGTTGAATTTCAATGAGATCGCATGAATCGATAATTGTTAGACCATCAATAAAAATAATATGGAAGCACTTAATGGTCATTTCGTCCAAGGATACGACTCCTCAATGACAGTGAGAGCATCAGTCACCCCAACATGAAACCCTGAACCCTCGGGCTCGTTCGTAAACACTTACCTCTAGATCATTAAGCCAGTGTCTAACTTCAATAAATCTTCGTTGGGGTAAGTGCTATGCTTCACATTCAACAAGGTTAAACTCCCTACAGGTTCATGCACGTTCATACACGCAAGACCGAAAGTCCTGGGTTCGATTTCCGCGGGGGGGGGGGCGGCATTAAAAACAATGTTTATTGAAAAGTGTTTACACTACAATATTTTTCATAATGGTTACTACTAATTTCTTCTCCCTTATCTTTTATTTAAACCATTTCAATTATTTCAGAATGAATAGAATAAAACTATGTTTTGACAAAAAAGAGAGAGAAAGTATAGAAAATTACATCTCTTTAATTTTTATTTAATGATCAATTATATATATATACAATTTTAAATTTAAATTTGTTTAAAATTTTTAAAAGCAACTCAATAAGAAATATACTCCCCCTAAAAATAAATAAATTATTCCTTTATTTTCATAAAAATCTTGTAAAAATCGATCGATAGACAGCAGTTTTCTCTTCCGTTTTTTTTTAAAACTTTTAAGAAAAAAAATCAATTCTCATGATTGCAATTAAACAAACAAACTAACATACAAACTAGCAAAAAAGAAAACAAAAAATGATTTCAAACCCTACCGAATCATTCATTATTTAATTAATTCATTAATTAATCATTCAATTTAAAAAATTATTCATTTTCCGTTTTTTTTTTTAACGAAGAAACCTAGTTCCATTTCAATAATCAATCAATATGTTCCGTTTGTTTTAATTTTAATGATTTTTATTTTTGGCGCGTTTGCATCAATATTCAATTTATTTTTATTTTATTTTATTTAATTTTTATTTTTATTTTTTTTAAAAATAAAATAAAGATTTTGTTTGAAATTAAAACAAGAAATAATTTCGATGAATTCGGTTGTTTGTTCATGGGACATTTTGTTTTTTTGATGCGTACGTACTATTAGGTTTCTCTTAACAACACTTAATAATTCGTATTCATTTTGGAGAAAATTAATAATTGTTTAAGTGTTACTTACTTACATCTGTCAATACCAGTAGAGAATAGGTCATCGACCAGTATTTTTCAGCCTACTCTGTCCTGGACCATCCTTTCTAGTTGTATACAACAACTGTTCATACTTCTCATGTCTGTTTCTGATTCTTGGCATCATGCGTTCCTTAGCCTACTTCTTTTCCTTTGACCTTGAGGGTTTCAAGTGAAAGCTTGTCTTGTGAAGCGGTTGAATGCTTTTCTCAGCGTGTGTTCTATCTACTTTCAACACTTCTTCGTGATTGCCTCCTTCGCTGGAATCTAGTTTGCTCTCTCCCACAATAGGTTGTTGCTGATTGTGTCTGGCCAACGAATCTGAAGGATTTTGCGTAGACAACTGTTACGGAATACTTGAATCGTCTGGATGATAGCTTTTGTGGCTCTCCAAGGTTTCGCCTCATACAGTAGAACTGTCTTGTTATTTGTATTGAGAATTCTGATTTTGGTGTTTGTTGACAGTTGTTTTGAGTACCAGATGTTGTCCAATAGTAGTAACGCAGCCCTTGCTTTGCTGATCCTCCAAGGCATCTCCGTCAAGAGTGATTTAGTTGGTGCATGTTGTGTTGTATTGTAGAATCTTGCTTTTTTATGTTTATGTTGTTGAGACCCTCTGCTTTTGAGGATGCTGCTACACTGTTCGTCTTCTCTTGCATCTGCGAAGTCCAGATCGTCCAGCTGCATCCTACCTATCCATTGTATGCTGTGCAGTTCAGATGTTGATGTCTTCATAATCCAGTCGATCACTAGGGTAAAGAGAAAGGGTGAAAGTAACTAACCTCGCCTGACAAAAATCTTCACCTTGAAAGAGTCTGTCAGCTGACCTCCGTGTACGATTTTGCAGTTGAATCCATCATAAGAATTCCGTATGATGTTGACTATCTTCTCAGGTACGCCGTAGTGTCGAAGAAGCCTCCATAGTTTTGTCCTGTCCACGCTATCGAATGCATTCTCGTAGTCAATGAAGTTGATGTATAGTGGTGAGTTTCATTCAATTGGTTGTTCCACAACGATCCTTAATGTAGCAATTTGGTCAGTACACGATCGATCCTTACGAAATCCAGCCTGTTGATCTCGAAGTTGGGCGTGTAAGAAGTCCTTCATTTTATTTAATAATACCTTGTTGAAGACTTTGTCTGGAGAGTGATGTCTCTGTAGTTCTCACACTTGCTGAGATTGCCTTTCTTCTGTATTTTGATCAAGAATCATTCTTTGCAGTCTGTTGGTACTCGTATTTAGTGCCGAATCTTTTTGAAGAGAATGTGGAATGTTTTTGCAGTTGCTGCCGCTTTTGGTATGTCCGATGGCCATGATGATCTTTTCAAATATTGGTGGGCCAACATAGATTGGGAGGTCCGTGGGTGCTGCTTCGATGTTGGGTGGGTTTAGTGGAGCTGGTCGATTCAAAAGTTCCTTAAAGTGCTCTACCCATCTGTTTTTCTGTCCTTCAGTGTTGCTGATTACTTGGCCTTCCTTGTTTTTCAATGGTGGTTCTGGTTTACGATAGTTTCAAGAGAGCTTCTTTGTCATATCGTACAACTATCTCAAATTTCCATCTCTTGCATCCTTTTCCACCATCATTGCCAGATCTTCCACATATTTAAGTTTGTCGGCTTTGATGCCCAGAGGGGCTCCAGGCAATTTCTGGTAAGTTTTACACTATTTCTTTCGGGCTGTCTCCTCAAAAAAGGCTAATAAAATACTTCAATAAGATAATAGACAGAGGATGATGTCTATGAAACTGTTGACATTTTTGAAAGAGAGAATTTAAGCAACACAAGCGTCTATGATTATTCAACAGGTACCAACATTGAAAGAGCAAATCCTTATTGAATAACCTGAACAATTAAACCACATGGAATAAACAGATCATCTACAAATGCACTTATATGCAATTTGATGCTCGTCAAAAATTACATTTTGATTTGAAGGCTTCATTTCTTATCATTTCTTACCATCATCCAATGAAATACCTGGAAAAAAAATTCAATCAACCAATAAAAGTGTTTTTTTATTCAGTATTATTTTTTTCTCGTCCTTACATTGACCAATAGGCAGAGATGACCTTTAAGTGATCAATACACACACACACACAACAAGGACAAGAGACTTGATGACTCATCATGCTCGAATGATTGACCAATAGTAAATTATTTCAATTGAAGTCGAATAACAAATGACTCATGACTACCAGTCTAAGATCAGATCACATTGTACTGATAAATGGAAATACTATACTCCACTATACTTCAGTGTTAGCCTGTTTGAGTAAGAAAGATTGTAAGTTACTTGATACATTGGTACAATAATAATCTATAATATACAGAATTTATAGCTTACTTTATTATTTATTATGTATGATTATTATCTTTCTACAAATATAAAGGTTGCTTATAAATATATTGGTACAGAGAGACGTGAAAAAAGTCAATCACCACAACGTATAAAACGTGTTAATTCGGATGAATTACAATTTCGACGATCAATACAATTATTACCACCAGCATCACATCAACGTATACGTAAAATTCAACCTGTTCAACCAAATACAAGTAAATTATTGAATGAACATGTTGTTGTTAGAACAAATGGTTATGCTGTAATTTATGTACCAAATAGTGAAACCATTGAACGTAAGTAATTTATTGTGATTGTTATTGTGTTGATGTTTTTTCCTTATCATTATTGAGTAGCTCAAGATGTCATCTCTAAATTAGGTAAGGACGAATGATTAGAAATATGCTTAGGAGAACTCTGTTTGTGCGGGCAGTGTGGTGTTCAAAAGCCTCTGAAACACAGAGAATAAAATCGTGAATCTTAAAGGGGAATCGGAGAACCTGGGTGGATTAATTTAGTAAGATGAAGCCTGACTAAGTATTTATATTATAGTATTATGGAGACTGTAACGCATGCACGTAAACACGTCATTCAATATGCTTGAACTATTACGAGCTGCTACCTTAGTCGGAAAACGAGAGTGAGGATCGATTATTCAGCGACAAGATATGCCACCCTAATCTGATTATCTTATACCACCATTGAGTAAAAGAAGAAGATTTGATTTGAAGTGGAACATGTATTCTACAAGCATCCAGAAAGTACGAGGTCTGAGTCCAGAGAAGAATCAGGATTACGGACTAGGGATCCGGAACCGGGTCCTGGTCATAAAACCTTACATATTATGCGTATTTATACTTTTAGGTTGAATTGGAAACAGCATCGAAGTCTGTGACATTGACAGTTAAGGCGACCAATAGGAAAAAACATTTGAAGTGACACTGATAATCAGGACGACCAATAAGAAACAACATTGAAGTATTTGACTTTGACAGTTATAACGACCATAATTTTGACGAATAGAAATCGACCAATAGGGTTTGACCAATAATTCTCTTAGGATATTGGATGAATATACTAACAGAGGTCATTATTTTACCTTGAAATCATGAATGAATCATTGTTAGGTCACCATTATAATAAACATACGAAATGTGTTCTCTAGTTGCAAGCTTCGTGAGGCTCTCTGAGTTCTAGTGAAGAGACGTGACCAGTGGACCTGAATCATGTCGGATGTCGGCAGCTACCACCGAAGATAGTGGGTGAAGTTGTGCAAAATTCATAGATTTATCAAAGTTAGACATTAACATCGTTGGATGCCGCCAATTCAGTGGTCCACAGGTTAGACGTTTGCGCGCAAGACCAAAGGTCCAGGGATCGAATCTTGTGAGTAGCAGGAGTCGTGCATTAGTAGTGCTGATGAGTCCCACATTAGGATGAAACGGCCGTCCGGTGCTTATGGGTTTGTAATGATGGTCTAACAACGATTCATTCATGATTTCAAGGTAAGCATTTATAGCCTGACATAAATAAGCTTCATATACGATAAGCAATGAACAGACACACTCATTTGAATAAGAATAACCAAGTTATGCACGAGTAATTAATTGACAAGGTCAAAAGACACGCGAATCATAACTTGGGCAGAAAAGGTTAAGTAATTTGTTTAAAGGGTGGGAGAAGTTATAAGTACTCAACAGATTAGTATACACTAAACTTTTTTCGATTGATAAATTTATGAAAAGGTTAGGATATTCATCAAATATCCTAAGAGAATTATTTTTGGAAGTCTAATTCTATTGTATGATTCCTACTGGTCAATATTATGCTCGTGCTAACTATCAATGTCGCATACTTCAATGTTGTTTCCTATTCAACTTAACTGTATAAATACACATTATATGTAACGTTTTATAACCCGGACCCAGATCCTTAGTCCGGGATCCATGTCTTCTTCTGGACTCAGACCTCGTACTTTCTGGATGTTTGTTATAATTCGCATCAAATCTTCTACTTTTACTCAGTGAGGGGTTGGGACACTCAGATTATAGTAGCATGTCGTGTCGCCGGTTCGTCGATCCTCGCTCTCGTTTTCCGACTACGGTAAACTCGTAATAGTTCAAACCTATCAAATTGACATGTTTACGTGCATGCGTAACAGAAAATAAAACCAATTTGTTTTATTTCTTGATAGATGAGTTAGGAAGTGTAACAATTCCAACGGGCTAATAAAATTTGATATTGTGACCACAGGATTTTTGTTCTAAAAATTCTAAATGGGAATGATTATAAATAGTTTGAGGCTCATTATTCTTAATAGAACTTACCAATATTAATAATTATTACGACAACTGATATTGATAAACATGAATGAATGAAAATATATAGACAATAATTTATAAGTTTTTAAGGAGAAACCCTCAAGGTTCTTGATACAGTTTATACATAAAGTAGTGACCATTTTCATTGTAGGCTTTAATTTGTCCTACAGATGTAATTCTAGAACGGTAAACGCAATATTGGCAAGCACAGAGTCTATGGGAAAGCTGTAGTAAGAATAAGATCAACTTGGTTTTAAACTTTATCTGTTTGTAAACATAAAAAACAATTAAATTAGTACAATAAATAAGGAAATTACAATTATCAAGCAAGACGAGCAAACGTACCAACCAATATAGCGTCTCTTATGGAAATGAGCAAAGTTATGAGTCACATCAATATAAAATAAGATAATAATGTCCTTCAATTAGTAGAGGTCATTTACAACAAAGAAAGTTTACAGACACATGTCAGATCAGATCACGTGATGGATGGTCGCTTAAACCACAATTTGATTGGTTAGTTATGGAAATAACTAACATTCATGTTTATCCAGTTCATGAATGCGACCAGTAGTCTTAGTGATAACTCATTAGGTGAATCTTTGTTTTAAGAACTGAATGCAACATATAGGCAGTCATAGACCCAAGTTCCATGTTAATCAGTACTCGTCAATACGGCGACATACGTGGATCCTTGAAAGAGCTAGTGATCTTTGATGGATTCGAATCCAAATGACACCACGGGTTCACAGTTTGAAACTGCACCACTGAGTTATTCATACCTCGAATGACCTTCTACGGAAATGAATAGATTATTCAATTTCGAAATTCTCAAGAAATATCAATTCTGTCAAGACTACACGTATATATATCTCTTGTTGACGGATGTCATCCTGCTGAAAAAATATGGATCCAGGATTTGCTTTAGACTAATTCCATCCATCCAATCACCTAACAAATAATGTATCTTTTTGAATAACATCATAGTTTCACCCACTTCGTTTCATTATCTAATATCAATTCCCATTTTATAAAAAGAGCAATCAACAGATCAGTTCACTTGTTATTACATAATTCCAAATAACAGTTTTAATCAGAAAACAACTTGACATAGTTACAATCTACGGTCTTATTTGTCTGACAGAACATCATGTTCAAAACTATTAGTTACAATTGAGCTAGTCAAGCCATAACTAACTCTTTGTAGGACTGAAAGATACCTTCGATTGATTGGTCAGCTGAGTAAACGACAAAAATGATATTTGTCTGATCAATTTTTTTCAGTCAACTCTCAGTGATCATGCAAATGAGATTCAGTAAAATATCTATCTAATGTTCGGTGGTCTTCAACAGTCTTCTATAGCTAATGATAACAGTCAGTCAGTCAGTCAGCTGCAACGTAGAACTTCGTACGTAAGTACATCAGTTCATGTTGCAATACCACATCAGCACAGAGGTATGATTGTCAATTCAAATCCAATAGTAGAAGAGGTAGTAAAGGAATAAGAAGTAATCAGAGAGGTTAGGATTAAAAGATATTATTCAAGAAGTATGATTCAGTGAGAAAAGTTTAGAAAGTCAAAACTAGAGGTGTTGAAGAATCCAGAAGATTAGGATTTGAGAGAACACAAAGAATAAATGCACCGGCGCCAATGCGAACCATTTTGAGCCATGTCATTCAAGGTCTCTAACCATCGGTGACTTTCGTCTCGCGGACCCCAACCAGGTAGTCGACAATAACAGTTGGCAACAGAGAACTCTTCAATTACAGCTATGGCGATTAGTGTTTTTACACAGTGAAATCATCAATCAATCATTGTTAGACCACCATTAGAAACTTGGAATCACTGGACGGCCGTTTCGCCCTGGTGTAGAACACTAACACCGTTGGATACCAAGCCAGTGGTCCAGAGGTTAGGCATTCACGCGTAAGACCGAAGGTCCCTGGTTCGAATCCTGGGAAGTGCAGAAGTCGTGGTTGCGCACTGCTGATGAGACCCACACCAGGACGAAACGGCCGTCCAGCGCTTCCAGGCTTCTAATAGTGGTCTAACACAATAATTAATTGATTGATGATTTCAGTGTGTGTAATAGAAAAATCATCACAACCCAACTAATTACGAAACACATTTTTATTTCGAACACACCCATCTATAGTGGTGTTGGCACAGAAGCGTAAATGTTCTAACATGAAGCCATTTTTATTAATATCACTCACAATTTTCAAAAATAAATTCAAACTACTCATAAGTAGGCTAAAAATTATAACAAAAGTAATTCATACAATGTCATGTTAATTTATATATACAGAATAAAATGTGAATATAATGTATTTTATTTTCTCAGAAGAAACTGTAGAGCTTAAAACAGAGAATGGTTGGGTTAATGAAAAAGCAAACAATGAATGTTCCTCACCAGTTTATGAAGAAAAGCATAGTTCAACTTATCCAAGTCCAGTTTCAAACCACAATGATGATGATGATGATGGCGGTGATGGTGATGATGACGGAGAAATGGAAATCGATTTAGTTACAATAAAACAATCTTCACCAGATGTGAATAGTACAGTAGAAGGTAAGTTTTTACATTATCATTATTGTGTATGATATGGACGTTCTGATTTAGAATAAATGAACGAATAAAAAGTTGCTAAGGATGTGAAATTCTCAAATGCAACTTTCAATAAATTTCTTTTTTCATATTGCTTCATCCTCGACTGTAGCTTTTACTTTGTCGTAGTGGTCGGACATGTCCATGATGATCACCCGACCGAGCTGTTTGAACATATTTTCCTTTAGGTCCTATTAAACCGGGCAGGTTGATTGGAGAACGGTATGACTAAAAAAAGCAGCAGCTGAAGGTCTGAGGGCAAAGTCATACTGCTGACTGTAGAAGGTTGTGACAGCGATAAGATGTTACCCTCAGATAATCAGTATCTTCAGCAATGCTGCCTTCTCACAAGAAAGGAAACGACTAGGAAAGGCTTGTCCTAAGAATGTCACACCTCACCTTACCTCACGGATTTGAGGAATGGAAATAACATGTTAACTTCCTATAAAAAGTCTGTGCACAACCGGCCTCAAGCAGTCGTTCCTTGGGTTTTGCGGCCACGCTCCAAAGACGCTAAGACCAACTTCAATTCAACTTCTTTTTCAGGTTCCTCAAGAAACACTGGGAAGTGACATCCACCCTTATACTCTTAACAATATACGAAAATCCCGACCGAAGCTGTTACCTTGACGTGGTGCTTGTCGGGCTTGCCTATCGCGATGACCCAACCGAGCTATATTGGCTGGAACTTTTGTTCATAAAGGTTCTACAATGCCAGGCAGGTCGATTCCAGAACCATGAGACTAAAAGCAGCTGCTTAAGGTCTGAGGGCGAAGTCGTACTGCTGATTTTAGAGGAATGTGACAGCAGTATAGTGTTTCCCTCGGACAACCAGCATCTGCAGCAATGCTGCCTTCTCACAAGGAAAGGAAGGGCTAGATAAGGTCGACCCTAAAAATGTCACACATCACCCTATCTCACGGATTTCCGTCTCCGTCGGTAAGGGTGCCCACTAAGGGCTTTCAAGAGCGGAGCTAACACTCAAAAAACTTCTCATAAAAAGGCCGTTCGTGACTGGCCTCAATCAGCTATCCTTTGGGCTCTGAGGTCACGCTCCCAGGTCTCCAAGACCAACACCAATCTATCTTCCTTTTCAAGTCCCTCAAGAGACACCTTTCCACGGTGTGGGCAACCGGGAAATGACAACCGCCCTCATACCCGTAACAGCACACGACACCAAATTGGTCAAAATCAAATCCTTCCTATGACTATTCGAAAATGACATTAAATTCATGAATTTTCAGTGTATTTTCACTAAGAAGATCTCTCCAAACTGTTAACTTTCAATGTCTCTTTAATTCTAACGAATTCATTATCAGTAATGATTTTATTACCGAACTGAACTTCTTACTTTATTGAGGTTAATAGAGAGGAAGTGTATTTTGTTTTGGAATAGTAGTTTAATTGTCGAATGTATTATTAAATTACGAAAATGTTTTATAATCTTGAGAAGTAAAACCTTAGAAATTATCTCATTCCAGAATATCACTACTCTTACTTACTTAAGCCTGTTACAATGGAGTATAGGCTACCAACTAGTATTCTCCAACCTACTCTGTCCTGCGGTTGCCTTTCCAGTTCTGTCCAATTGTTGTTCAATCTTTTCATGTCTGTGGCCATTTTGATCTTCCTCTTTCGCTCTTGAAATTTAACGCTAATTCGTGGAAAATCAACTCCACCTGGAGGCCCTCTAGACCTATTGTCAGTCTCAAGCCAGGATAAAATATGTTGTTGGGGTTATGTTGGGGATGTTAGATCCCCAGAACTCGCTTGATAAATATTTTTATTTTGGATTTGTTTCATGGACCGATCAGTTGACCTTGGGATGACAGTTCCCACCAGGAAAATCCTTGTCTGTGATTGATCGGTTACTGCATCATTTTAGTGTGCTATTTTTGTGACTGTCCCAAGGACGTCTCTATACAGTATAAATAGACGCAATTTGAGTGCTTGACTCATTGTGGACTGGCTAAGTGTTTGTAGATTACAATTTCTACACTATATCAAGACTTCTTGCTAATTTAATTTGGTGAAGGGATCGCAATAGCCTACCTGAACACTGGTTCATTGTTTTGTTCTCGTTATTTGACTAAGGTGAACTCGTAATAGTTTAAGCATACCTAGAGACGAGCGTAACACTAACCACCGGTTACGATTATCTTATATACCACAACCAAGTAGTCTACACCTACTAACATGACTCAGTCCAGTTGTGTTAGTGACTTCAAGGATTTGTGCCATGTTTTGGTATGGCCACCCGTAGCTTTCTTCTAGGCTAACCATACACCAGGCATCATCGCTCGCCAAGGCAGCCGGTGGTCGTGCTTTTGTAACATATGCCCTAATTACTTCTTCTGATGAGGTTTGTAGTACTTCATCTAATGATTTGGGCAAGCTGGCTTACGTGGTTTACTGATCAATATTCCTAGTGGTAAAAGTTTATGGTTGAATTAATAAACTTATAATTTCTCAAAAACATTCCACATTTCACTTCACAGTATAAAGCTGTTTTATGATTTAATACAATCGGAACTAGATTATGAAGATGTCAACATTTTGAGGGTGGGGGCACGTGATACAGTGGATAGTTAGGATGCAACTAGACAATTTGGCTCTTCTTTCCTACACGCAAAAATTGCGAAAGCCATCATCTGGAAGATAAAAGTGTTGATTAACAGTTTTTAACACAAAATACTTCGGATTCACTAGTCAGACACAATCAGCAACAACCCGTTTCAAGCGGAGGAAGAAGCGCTGGAAGTGGATAAGACACACACTGAAGAAAGCACCCGATTGTATCACAAGACAAGCCCTCATTTGAAATCTTCAAGGTAAAATGAAAACAAAAAGAAGACCAAAGAACACATCACACTGAGAAATGGAGGCAGACATGAAAGGAATAAACAACAGTTGGACAGAACTTGAAAAGAAAGACCATGCCAGAATAGGTTTAGAGAATGCTGATCGACGGCTTATGCTCCATTGATGGGGGGTTTACAGGCGTGTAAGAAAGTAAGTAACCCTCAGAACTGGTTGAGATTCTCATTCACCACTAGTTGTTGTTCAAAGGTCTGTGGTGTGAGCTACTTATAAGTAGTATATGACGTGAGTGTCAACGTAATGTCTGGCAGCAGAAGATCAAGATCAAGATCAAGAAGATCAAGAAAGTAAGAAGAGTTAGAACACAATCGAATTTGTATGAAACGCATGAATAGTAGTGACAATGGATTGTTGATGTTTTGCAACAGGAACAACAGTCCAGTTCGATATTACTTACTTACTTACGCCTGTTACCCCCAATGGAGCATAGGCCGCCCACCAGTTTTCTCCAGCCAACTCTGTCCTGGGCTTTTCTCTCCAGTTCTGTCCAATGTTTGTTCATTACTCTCATATCTTTCTCTATTTCTCGGCGTAATGTATTCTTTGGCCTTCCTCTTTTCCTTTTGCCTTGAGGGTTCCATGTAAGGGCTTGTCTCATGATGCAGTTAGGTGCTTTTCGTAGTGTGTGTCCTATCCACCAACTCGACCACTTCTTCCTGATTTCCTCCTCCACTGGAATCTGGGTTGTTCTCTCCCACAGTTCGTTGTTGCTGATCGTGTCTAGCCAGTTCGATATGATGGACTGATATTTTGCAAATGAACAATTTACGATATGGTTTTTTACGATTTTACTGAGTAACTCTGTAATTTTCGTTAAATATAATCAATTCGGTTGCCCCACCTGTGTTCTCGTTCACTACAGGTCAACCAACATATTTACCATTCTCTTCCTAATAAAATAAATTCATGTATTACAGACTATTGATGATATCAATGAAAATATTCACTTGTGTTCCCCTGTTTCTTTGATATATATATTTTTTTCCCTTCTATTTACAGATATCTCGAACTAGATGTTATTACTACTACTAGTGAATAATTATTTATTATTATTACAGAGTATAATATTATAATTATTACCCATTTTCAATCAATCAATCAATGGGCACCTCTACAAACATATCCAATCATTCATTATTGAACTGTTGTCGTATTCAGAAATTTTTTAATTAAATATATATATTTTTTACACATTTAAATAATTTCTCACATTATTAATATAATTAATCAATGTTCAGTTGTGTCTACAAATAATTGCAAATGTCAAATATCAATTATGCCGCCAACAGATATATTATTCATTATTGAACATTGAACACACATCAGTGAAAACAATTATTGTACTGTATTGTATTGATCATTGAAAATGAACAATTAGCAGTTTAAAAAATAAGGAAAAAAATTGTAAATTTCTATTCTGTCAACGCTTTTTTTTAGAAAAATAAATCAAAAACTTTTTTAGTTCATTCCATTCATTCAGTAAAACAAACCAGTTAGTCAGTATCTTATTATGAAACAATGAAACAATGTTTATTGACAATAATTATGATGCATTAGGCAGATGATCATGAAACAGAATTTTTGAATTTTTTTTTCTGGCTTCCGTTATTCTTTCTGTTTTGTTTTGTTTTTTTAATTTTGTTTCGTTTTTTCTAGAAAAAAAGAAAATAGACCACAACGAAACATGATTATTTACAACACAATTAATGACTTTGATCTTTGAACAACTGATTCACTAACTACTTTTGATACTGAGTTTATATTTTTTTGTTTTGTTTTAGTTAATCAATAATATTCAAATGATGATGAATAAATAAAATAAAGTTATTGATATGGGGGGGGGTATTTGAATTCAATTTGTTCTTGTGATAGTTAGTATGCATCAATTTCAATTGAGTGTTGACAATGTATATACAATGTAATACCATGCATGAATGCTGCTGACCTTGGTGAAAATAGCCATTAAAAACCAACAAGTCAGTGCTGATGGCCTTGTTGTGAGCGAATCCAGATACCAGATTGACTATACTCACCACTAAATGTTCATTACGGTCATGTCACGAATATTAACACAAAATAAATCCATGGTTGAGTTGTTTATTGAAGGAGAACGTTGGCAATACATGAGGAGCAGCAAATAGAGAAAGATGGCAGCAACACGAAGAGAACGTTGCGCGTAAGAAGTAGTAGAAGTGTTTTTGGTACAGTTAAGCAAAACGAGTACAATAATGTTTATTTTTCACAAATCGTATTTTCTTCGTAGAAGCGTTCCACTACAGCCTGATATCTGAAGAAATTTCAGTGGATAAGGATACTAGAGAAGGCTTGATTGGCTTTTGCCGAATTGAATCACTTATGGAGTTGGTGAGATATTTGTCTGCTTACCAATGGATGAGTCTACTGTGTAGTAGTTCGATTCGTCTTAATTTACTGTTGTGAAACATTGACCAGTAAAAGAGTTGAACATATTCGTAGGTTACTAGTTTTCGAACATTGGTGTCTCTGAAGCATTGTTCGTATACGGTGGGACAACCGAGTAAGCAATGCCATTGTTAGGATACGAGTACTGGGTAGGGATGGCAGATCATTTGAAGTGGTTGGGATGTGTGTTACGAATGCCCAACCACCAACTGCTTCGATGAGCTTTGTGGTGTAGGAGGAGGTTGGAAAAAGAAAGTTAGGAGAGGCCAAACCAAAATATGGCACGAATCCATGAGGTCAGTGACAAGTGGACTGAGTCAAGTTAGTAAGTCCAGACTACTTGACTGGGAGTCCATGAGATGATAGTGATCGATGGCTAGAGACCTTGAATGAAGAAAGCTAGGGGCGGCCAAACCAAAACATGGCAGAAATCCATGAAGTCAATGACAAGTGGACTGAGTCATGTCGGTAGTTGTCGACTACCTGGTTGGGTCTGCGAGATGATAATAATCGATGGTTAGAGACTCTGAATGACATGGCTGAGAACCGTTTGCAATAGCGCCGGTGTATTTATTCTTTGTGTTCTCTCAAATCCTAATCTTCTGGATTCTTCAAACCCCCCTAGTTTTGATTTTCTAAACTTTTCTCACTGAATCATATTTCTTGAATAATATTTTCTAATCCTATCCTCTCCGATTACTTCTAAAACCTTTACTATCTCTTCTACAATTGGATTCGAATTCACAATTATATCTCTGTGCTGATGTGGTATGGCAACATGAACTGATGTACTTACGTACAAAGTTCTACGTTGCATCTGACTGACTGACCTTGAATGACATGGCTCAAAATCGTTTGCAATGGTGCATGTGCATTCATTCTTTGTGTTCTCTCATATCCTAAACTCTTTAATTCCTCATCACTTTATTTTTCTTCTTTTTAAGTTTATTTCACTGGATGATTATACTTCTTGAATAATATCTTTGAACCCTAATCTCTCCGATTACTGCTCATAGTTCTACTATCTCTACCACAATTGAATTTGAATCGACAATTGCATTTCTGTGCTATCGTAGTATCGCAACTTGAAATATGATGTACGTACGTACGAAGCCTGTTTCATTATAGTATATGTGATGCCTGGGTAATGCAAAGCAACGATCTCACCGTCGCACCAAACTCAAAATATTCAGGTCTTGCGGTGGTTACTTAACAGCTTAGTTGGGATCCAGAAGTGTTGGATTTTTGTCATTTATATAGTTTGTAACAAAATTACAATGTACTACTCTGTCTTTCTTTGACACTTCTAAGATAACTTAAAATCGATTTGAAATTCCATTCATTTGCTAAAACCGAACGTGCAAAACACCAATAACGAGAATCAACCTCTTTTTGACTGATCATTTGGAGAGTTTTACTCACAGAAAGTACTCTGGTATACAGTCCTTGTTAACAAACATTTACAGTACACTTGTGAGGTTATGATAGCCTTCGAGTGAGCAATCTACGTGGAACCCTCCAGCGTCAAGGGTTATTTTACATTGGCTTTCAAAAGAACGAAACAGCCCGCGTATTAGCATTTCGACGTGAACAGTTCCGCTCAATCCCGTGATGTAACCACACAGGTACCTAACACCCTGGTGGAGAATTCCAGCGGGTTGGTTTTTACAATGTAACAGCATCTGTCTAAACAACGCCAGTACACTACTCAACTTTCAACTGTATTGTATCTTACTAATTATACTTGACACTGGAAACAATTGAAGTTTGACAACACAAAGAGCACAGACAACTACTGGTGTGGATGAAAGTTTATTTAACGTTACAAACAATATCCTTAAGAATAAAACTGTTACGCCTGCACGTAAACACGTCAACTTGATATGCTTGAACTATTACGAGTTTACCTAGTCGGAAAACGAGAGCGAGGATCGAGGATCCGGCGACACGACATACTACTCAAATCCGATTATTCCAACCCCCATATTGAGAAAAAAATAAGAAGACATGATATGAAGTAGAATCTGTATTCTGCAAGCATCCAGAAAGTACGAAGTCCGAATCCAGAAGAGAATCAGTATCCCGGACTAGGGATCCGGGACCGGCTCATGGTCCTGGTCATAAAACGTTACAGATCGTGTGTATTTATATATTTTGGTCGAGTAGGAACAGCATCGAAGTCTGTGACATTGACAGTTAAGACGACCAATAGGAAGTAAGATTGATAGTCAGGACAACCAATAAGAAACAACATTGGAGCACGTGACATTGATATCTAGGACGACCATAAACTTGACCAGTAGGAATGAACCAATAGGAATTGACCAACAGTTCTCTTAAGATATTGGATGAATATCCTAACAAAATCATCATCAGACACAGATCTGTTCATATATATCCATATACGCCCCTATAGAGCTACTCAGTTACGTTTATAATCGATTAGTTGTTATCAGACCATCAACACAGGGTTGTAATCTGCCTCAATATTGACATTTTGAAAACCGAGATTGGATTTTTTTGAAAGAATATACTTAATAAACATTTATAAAGGGACGGATGTCTGCTAGAAGTGAATACATTCAAACATAATGGATGTACGTATGTGAAGAAACAGTACAGAAATTTCCCAGATCACCACTCCCAAATCTTTGATGTTCGTTTTGAATGGTTTAATTTTGTACATCGTAATGACAAACTATAGACAAGTGCCGTTACGAGTATGAAGGTGAATGTCACTTCCCTGCTGTTTACACTGTGGAAGGCTGTTTTCTTGAGGAAGTTGAAAAAGGAGTGAGATTGGTCTTAGAGATCTGGGAACGTGACTGCCAAAAACCCAAGGGACAACTACTTGAGGCCGGTCGCACACGGGAATTTTCTAAATTAACGTGTTAGTCCATCTCTTCAAATGGCCTTACCGCTGGAAACGAGGTGTGACATTTTCAGGGTCGACCTTTCGTAACCCATTCCTCTCGTTATGAGAAGGCAACATCGCTGCAGATACTGGTTGTCTCAGAGAAACACCTTACTACTGTCACATCCTTCTACAGTCAGCAGTACAATTTCGCTCTCATACCTTGAGTTACTGGTTCTAGTAGGATCTAAAGGAACAAGTGTTCCAACCAATATAGCTCGGTTGGATGATCAAGATAGGCTAGGCCTGACCACTACGTCAAGGTAGCAAACTACGGTCGAAACAAACTATAAACACTGCATGTCATAGGTAATTTCTTTTTGCATCGATTTAAGATGAACTAAATTCAACGTTTATACTGATTGGTCAACGAGTAATGTTTACCTGATCCCTTAATACTGGTTGGATTTCAGTCACAGAATTTTACCAAGTGACCATCAGTCTGAAATAACTCGGTAGGTATCATGAGAGCAATGTTTTCATATTAGGTGGTTATCGGCATAATACCTTGAACTTTAATCTCATGCTGAATGAAACGCTATCAGAATGGTTTGCCTACAATCTTTAGAAGACTTATCACTCCCTGACAGTTCAAAACTGTCATACAAATTCACAAGTGGTAAATTAACCAGGCAATTGCCAGTCTCAAAATCTTTAAGATCCAATGGCAAATAGTTAAAAGGCTAGATCGAGAATTTCTTGCTAAATATCTCCAACCACACAACATGACTTAATATTGTTTCACTCAAGTAGTATAGAGTATATTTCAACAAAATATCTCGTTCGATCGATCGATCTGTCCATAACTTTACACTCATCACATACAACCACATCAGTTTCGCAATGAGATCATTAGTGAATCATTGTTAGACAACCATTAGAAACCTGAAATGAACTGGATGGTCGTTTCGTCAGCAGTGCGCATCCACGACTCCAGCTACTCGCAAGATTCGAACCTAATGACTCGCTCATGGTTTCCATGTGCAAAAACAATGGTCTCTATAGTACTATAGTGCAAAATCAAAAAATGTGCTCACTAGTAACTAGCTTCGTGAGGAAATTCTCGGAGTTCTGGTAAGAAGAGGTGATCAGTGGAGTTTAACTTAATCGAGAGTAGATAGTATCTATCGAAGACAATCGGTAAGGTTGCATGAAATCGTTAGATCGGTCAGAATTAGACATCAACACCGTTGGAAGACGGCTTAGAGGTTGTGAGTTTAAGTGTTCTCGCACAAGACCGACTATGCTTGGTTCGAATACTACGAGTGAAGAGAGTTGTGGATGGATGCACACTGCTGATGAGTAGTTGTCCCATATTAGGACCAAAACGGCCGTCCAGTGCTTCTAGACTTCCAATGATAGTCTAACAATGACTCGCTCATGATTTCAAATGTATAAAAACAATCATCTCCATAATTCTGCAAAGCAAAATATCAATTTCCTTAATCAGACATCGGTACCTGAACTAGTGATAGGGAGTGAAGTAGTCGAGCGTGTTGATCAATTCACTCATCTGGGGAGTCTCATCAGTGCTGATAGCCTGGTGACCGACGAAATTTCAGCGCGGATACAGAAGGCTCGATTGGCTTTTGCCAACCTGCGTCATTTATGGCGTAGGCGTGATATCCATTCGCTAACCAAAGGACGAGTGTACTGCGCAGCAGTTCGCTCCGTTCTCCTATATGGCTGTGAAACATGGCCGTTAAGAGTAGAAGATGTTCGTAAATTACTAGCAGTAGTATCATAGATGTCTTCGAAGCATTGCTCGTATACCGAGGGACAACCGAGTAAACAATGCTGTCGTTAGCAAATGAGTACTAGGTAAGGATGGCAGATCAATTGATGAAGTGGTGAAACTTCATCAGTTGAGGTGGTTGGGACATGTATTACGTATAGCTAACCACCGACTGCATCGACGAGCTATGTTTTGTGGTGTAGGGGGAGTAGGTTGGAAGAAAGCTAGGAACTGCCAGACCAAAACATGACAGAAATCCATGAAGTCACTAACAAGTGGACTGAGTCATGTTGGTAGATGTAGGCTACCTGGTTGGGGTCCGCGAGACGAAAGTCACCAATGGTTAGAGACCTTGAACGACATGGCTCAAAATCGTTTGCAATGGCGTAAGTGCATCCATTCTTTGAGCTCTCTTAAATCCTAATCTTCTGGATTCGTCAGCACCTCTACCATTCACTCTTTTCTAAACTTATCTCAATGAGTTATACTTCTTGAATAATAACTTCAAACCCTAGTCTTCTCCATTACCAGTAATACTTCTACTATCTCTACCACTATGAGATTTGAACTGACAGTTACGTGTCTGTGCTAATGTGGTATGGCAGCAACATGAACTTATGTACTCATACGTACAAAGTTCTACGTTGCAACTGACTAAGTGACTGAATCAGAAAAAAAAACATTTTACACTAATCATACAAAGTAGACAAGAAGTAAAAAAAAGATAAAGTCAATTTGAAATTATTTATGATAAAATATCTATGGCAAAATATCGAATAGTTGTATCATCCGATGCTGTACATAAAAATGGTTCAATACATGATTGTGGTGTTTTATTCAATGGTTCAATTTTTTTAAATTGATTATTATCGTCTTCCATGATGGATTTACATAAAGGTGGTAAAGTTAAATATAAAATCAATGCTTTATGACCCCACCATATTTTCAGGGGGATTTTTTCTGTTAATAAACCAGTTGTTGTTGATGATTTGCCAGTGAGTCCAGTAATACCACACCATGCAACAATGGAACCTTTTGTTGTAGCTGTAAAAAATATCGGTTTATATCGACTCCAACATAATGATGTAATACCGATAGGTTGCTGTTAAATTTTAATAGAAACAAAAATATATACATAAGATAATTCAGTAAACAGTAAATATACCATGAAATAAGCAGATTGATATCAGATAAGATACTACTTACCTATGAAGTGGTTAACTCTGCCTGTAGTCACTCTAAGGCTACTACTACTGTGGTGCGAGCTACTTATAAGTAGTATATGACATGAGTGTCAATGTAATGTCTGGCAGCAGAAGATGGGGGAAGATCAAGAAAGGAAGAGTTAGAAGAACACAATGGAATTTGTATGAAATAGCATGAATAGTGACAATGGATTGTTGATGTTTTGCAACAGGAACAGTCCAGTTCCACAGGATGAACTGATCTTTTGCAAATTAACGATTTACGATATGGTTTTTTACGATTTTACTGAGTAACTCTGTAATTTTCGTTAAATACAATTCGGTTGCCCCACCGGTGTTCTCCTTCACTACACTACTACCGGTCCCAAGCCCGGATAAAGGAGGAGGGTCGGGCATGGGGTTGGTGACTAACTACATCTAGCCGGAAACTATTTCAAAAAATACGCTAACCAGGAAGATCAATTCAAATTATTTTAACTCTAGTTTTTTTTCCAGGAGGAACTGGAAAAACAGATAGGCGACCATCCAAGTGCTTCCCATCCGGAGGCAAGTTGGAATGATATCAAAAAGACTGTGGAAACAGCAGTGATATCTGCTAGTAAGGTAAACCATAAGGCTAGGATGAAGCCGTGGATATCAGTCGCATCCACTGAACTGATGAATGCTCGAAAATGCATCCCATCTGACTCTGAATATGACGAAGAGCGAGGCCAACGCCCCTTCTCACAACCAGAGAGACCATTTATTCAGGTACATGGAATGTTAGAACAATGTGGGAGATTGGAAAACAGTTCCAAATTGTTGTTGAAATAATAAGATACAACGTGGAGATGCCTGGAATCAGTTAAACGGATTGGATGCAGGTTGGACAACCAAGACTAGCTTGAGGAGAGCTGCTGTTGTACTCCAGTCATGAAGAAGAAAACGCCTCACACATACAAGGAGTTGCACTGATGCTGTTCAAACAAACATACAAGCCACTTATATAATGGGAATCACATGGACCCGCGATCATCAAAACATCCTTCAAAACAAAGCAAGTAGGCATTACAATGAACGTCATCCAATGCTATGCACCTACCAACGACTACAAGGACAACGTTAAAGATCAATTCTACGAGAGGCTGCAGTCCGACCGTAGCTGCTACCTTGATGTGGTACTTGTCGGGCTTGACTATCGTGATGACCAAGCCGAGCTATACTGGCTGGATTATATGTTCCTGAAGGTTCTACCATGCCAGGCAGGTCGATTGGAGAACGATGAGACTAAAAGCAGCTACCCAAGGTCTGAGGGCGAAGTCGTATTGCTGACTGCAGAGAGGTGTGAAAGCAGTAAGGTGTTTTCCTCGGACAATCAGTATCTGCGGCGATGCTGCCTTCTCACAAGGAAGGAAGGGTTAGAAAAGTTACTTACTTACTTACGCCTGTTACCCCGAATAGAGGAGCATAGGCCACCCACCAGTTTTCTACAACCGACTCTGTCCTGGGCTTCCTTCTCCAGTTCTGTCCAATGTTTGTTCATTCCTCTCATATCTTTCTCTGTTTCTCGGCGTAATGTATTCTTTAGCCTTCCTCTTTTCCTTTTGCCTTGAGGGTTCCGTGTGAGGGCTTGTCTCGTGACGCAGTTAGGTGCTTTCCGCAATGTATGTCCCATCCACTTCCACTGCTTCTTCCTGATTTCCTCCTCCACTGGAATCTGGTTTGCTCTATCCCACAGTTCGTTGCTGCTGATGGTGTCTGGCCAACAAATACGAAGTATTTTGCGTAGACAACTGTTCATAAATACTTGTATCTTCTGGATGATGGCTTTCGTAGTTCTCCATGTTTCCGCTCCATACAGTAGAACTGTCTTCACATTTGTATTGAAAATCCTGATTTTGGTTTTAGTTGAAAGTTGTTTGAAGTTCCAGATATTTTTCAACTGTAGAAACGCAGCCCTTGCTTTGCCAATCCGTGCCCTCACATCTCCATCGGATCCACCTTGATTGTCGATGATGCTGCCAAGATATGTAGAGGTGTTAACGTCCTCCAAGGCATCTCCATCAAGAGTGATTTGGTTGGTGCATGTTGTGTTGCATCAGAGAATTTTGCTTTTTCCTTTATGTATGTTCAGACCTACTGCTGCAGAGGCTGCTGCTACACTGGTCGTCTTCTCTTGCATTTGTTGTTGCGTGTGCGATAGAAGAGCCAAATCATCTGCGAAGTCCAGATCGTCCAGCTGCGTCCTAACTGTCCAGTTGATACCGTGTTTCCCTCCAGATGTTGACGTCTTCATAATCCAGTCGATCACCAGGAGAAAGAGAAAGGGTGAGAGTAAGCATTGTTGCCTGACACCAGTCTTCACCTCGAAAGAGTCTGTTAGCTGTCCTCCGTGCACGACTTTGCAGTTGAATCCATCATAAGAATTCCGTATGATATTAACTATCTTCTCAGGCACATCGTAGTGTCGAAGAAGCCTCCACAGTGCTTTCCTATCCACGCTATCGAATGCTTTCTCGTAGTCGATGAAGTTGATGTAGAGTGGTGAGTTCCATTCAGTTGATTGTTCCACAATGATCCGTAATGTAGCAATTTGGTCAGTACACGATCGATCCTTACGAAATCCGGCCTGTTCATCTCGAAGTTGGGCGTCTACGAAGTCCTTCATTCTGTTTAACAATACCCTGGTGAAGACTTTGCCTGGTATTGAAAGAAGAGTGATGCCTCTGTAGTTCTCACACTTGCTGATATCGCCTTTCTTTGGTATTTTGATCGGGTATCCTTCTTTCCGATCTGATGGTACTTGTTCCTCATCCCAAATCTTCTTGAAGAGGATGTAAAATATTTTCGCAGTTGCTTCTACATCTGCTTTCATTGCCTCTGCTGGAATGTTGTTTGGTCCTGCTGCTTTGTCGCTCTTGATTTGTCTGATGGCCATACTGATCTCCCCAACTGTAGGTGCGCCAATATTAGTTGGGAGGTCCGTGGATGCTGCGTCGATGTTGGGTGGGTTCAGTGGAGCTGGTCGATTCAAGAGTTCCTTAAATTGCTCTACCCACCTATTTCGCTGTTCTTCAGTGTTACTGATTACTTTGTCTTCCTTGCTTTTCACTGGTCGTTCTGGTATACGATAGTTACCGGCCAGCTTCTTTGTTGTTTCGTACAATTGTCTCAAGTTTCCTTCTCTTGAAGCCTTTTCCGCCGTCATTGCTAGATCTTCCACATATTTTCGTTTGTCAGCTCTGATGCTCTTCTTCACTTCCCTGTTTGCTTCTGTGTATGCAGCTTGTGCTGCAACTTTCTCTGCTCTTGTTCGGCTGACGTTGATTACTGCCTTCTTGTTCCTCCTTTCTTCAATTTTTGCGAGGGTATCAACAGAGATCCATTCCTTGTGATGGTGCTTCTTGCGACCAAGGGTTAGAAAAGGTCGACCCTAAAAATGTCACACCTCACCCTACCTCACGGATTTCCATCTCCGGTGGTAAGGGTGCCCACTGAAGGCTTTTAAGAGAGGAGCTAATCCCCAAAAAACCTTTCATAAAAAGGCCGTGCGTGACCGGCCTCAAGTAGTTGTCCCTTGGGCTCTGCGGTCACACTCCCAGGTCTCTAAGACCAACGCTAATCTATCTTCCTTTTCAGGTCCCTCAAGAAACAACGTTCCACGGTGTTGGCAGTCGGGAAGTAACAACCACCCTCATACCCATTACAGCATACGAGATTAAATTGGTCAAAAGCGGGTTATTGAAAAAGTTAAACATTCACATTATACCTAGTTGTATTGCGTAAGAAAAACAAATGTTCAATTATTATTGGATATTGAACAAGGAATAAATAACCTACCGCATCATTTTCATCATCTATATATGTCCATTTTTGACGTATACGAATTGTATGCGAATCACAAATGCCCAGCACACCAGTGATAGAACCGAAAGCAAACAAATTATGTCTAGAAATGAATTAAAGATTGAATATTAGTTATCACTGAAAAACAACAGAGGAAATTTGGGCTGAAAGAGGAAAAACCCCAGTGTTTAAGACATCTTCCTAAATTTCTGATGAGAAATTAAACGCGAAAGCAGATCAGCTATCACAATCAGTCAGTCAACAACAACAAAGAACTTCGTACATAGGTACATCCGTTCAAGTTGCCATACCACACTAGCACAGAGAAACATATTTGTTAATCCCGTAGTAGAAGTATTAGCAGTAATCGGAGAGATTAGGGTTCGACGATGTTATTCAAGAAGTAGAATCTAGTGAAATAAACTTAAAGAGAAAAAGGTGATGAGGAACTCTGAAGGTTACGCTTAGACAGAACACAAAGAGTGGATGCACCTGCGCCATTGCAAACGGTTTTGAGCCTTGTCATTCAGGGTCTCTAACCATCGATTACTATCATGTTGCGGCCTCCAACTAACTAGTCGACACCTACCAACATGATTCAGTCCACTTGTCAGTGACTTCATGGATTTGTGCCATTTTTTGGGTCGACCTCCTCTAGCTTCCTTCCAACCTACTCATACACCACAAAACATAGCTCGTCAAGGCAGTCGGTGGTTAGGCATTCGTAACACATGTCCCAACCACCCCAACTGATGAAGTTTCATTACTTCATCTATTGATCTGCCATTCTTACTTAGTATTACTCGGTGGTCTCACGATAAATGGGCACTGCTTTGGAGACACCTATGACTGAAAACCAGCAATCTACGAATATCTTCTACGCGCTGACTGGCCATATTTCCCAGCCATAAAATAGGACGGAGCGAACTGATGCTATGGAGGCTACTACATTGATCAGAGGAGACAAGGCACAAGATTAACTTTGAAAACAAAATATTCTAGAGAAACGTATGGAGCCCACAAACAAAGATTGACTGCAGAAGTACAATATGACGAATGCAATTTAACAAATAAATCTACTTTAATTTCCACTGACCCCGTTTACATATCACCTATAGCTTGTTTAATCGAAAAAGAATATCGTTTTCAGTGTTAAACATCACAATCATGATAGTTTTCAACAAAATCACAATGTACCATTGTCTTTTCTTGGACAATTAATTCTAAGGCAATTTACAAATCTAAATTTTTTTTCATTTGTACTATCCTATCAGTGAATGTATACCAACTCATTTCAAACATATGTGAAGTAAACTGATAACTGGCAGATTTCAACTCTACACCGTTTAGTTCGATCTGGATAGCCAGATATTTCGCATGATCCTTGATGGATCGGGTACACGTTGAGGAAATCACACGACTATGTCACAAGAGAAGCCCTTAATTGGAATCCTCAAGGTCAAAGGAAAGGGAGGAAGGCCAAAGCACAAATTACGCTGAGAAATGGAGACAGGTATGAGAAGAATGAACAACAATTGGATAGAACTGGAAGCCCAGGATAGAGTAGGTTGCAGAATGCGGGTCGACGGCCCTATGCTCCAATTGGGGGTAACAGGTGTAAGTAAGTAAGGAAGTAAGTTCATACAGCAGTTGAAATTGATCGATTTCTGTTGATATATTGAGAAGACTGAGGCAGGCGCGATAGACTGTATTTAGCAAATTTACACTCCAACTCAATAAAAAACGAAAACATTACATTGAACACTTTATTTCCACACCATCTTTGAGTCCTGACTTCCAACGCTCCATCATCCTTCTTCCATTCCTGCTGTTGCTTCCTCTCCTTCCTCTGTTGGTACTCCATTTACTTCTTGCTTTTGCTCCATTTGCTTTCCGTTTTCCTCTTCTGACCGTGAGACTTCTTCTTTCATGTCCCTTCTTATACTACTTATATCGTTCGTATAAGTAGCACACACCACAATATGTGCATTTTATATAGATTACCTCAATAATGTAATCTATTTACAAGCATTTTAAGAAGAGATGGGGGATGTGGTGAGTAGCAGGGGAACACAGAATGTATGCGTGATTACATTCGCGACTTCACAGACCGAATATATCCGCATCCAAAATTCATATACATGAAGAGAACGTGTTAGGATATTCATCCAATATCCTAAGAGAATTACTTAGTCAATTCTTATTGGTTCATTCCTACTGGTCAATTTTATGGTCATCCTAGTAGATATCAATGTCACGTGCTCCAATGTTGTTTCTTATTGGTTGTCCTGACTATCAATGTCACTTCAAATGTTACTTCCTATTGGTCGTCTTTACTGTCAATGTCACAGACTTTGATGCTGTTTCTTATTCGACCAAAATGTATAAATACGCATTATCTGTAACGTTTTATGACCAGGACCTCGTACCTTCTGGATGCTTGTAGAATACAGATTCTACTTCATATCATGTCGTCTTATTTTCACTGAATATGGGGGTTGGGATAATCGGATTTGAGTAGCATGTCGTGTCACCGGTTCCTCGATCCTCGCTCTTGTTTTCCGACTAGGTAAACTCGTAATAGTTCAAGTATATCAAGTTGACGTGTTTACGTGCAGGCGTAACAGAACGGCAGTTCTTAGTTTCAGAGTAAACATAGACTCTTTGTAGTACATGCATCCCAGTTGACGAATACCAAATAGTACGGAACATAAATTATTGAGTCCCTCTGCTAACCATCATCTATCTCTACTTAAAAATGATGAGCCGATTTAATACCATACTCATTTTATACAAGGTCATATGATACGGTCTGCCTTACCGAAACCAAAAAGAAAAACGTGAGACCCTAATCAAGAACGCACTGTGGTTAGAAGACAGCTGGTTTCATTCTGTACACAAATAATGGATCGGCTAGCTAGAAGTCAGCTGACTAGTATTTCAATGACCTTGAATTGAGAGCTATCACTAAACTGATCAATATACTGATCTGCATAAGTATGACATAAAGATGAATGACCATGTGATTGGCATAACCATGACCTTGAGTTTACAGATTTATTATTCAACACAAAACAAGTATGCTTGTGGGCGTACGTGAGAAGTACAAAAGAAATTAGACAAAGACTTACGTCCAAGAACAGTTCAATGCTTCAACTGATCCATCATCACCGGTTTTAATGATATCTAAAACCTACATGATTAACAGAGAAAATAATATGAATAATGAAATCTGACTAGGAGAACATTAAAATTATTCATAGTCTAATAATAATGATATCTAGTCATCAGTTGAGATGGTTGGGACATGTGCTGCGTATGCCACCTAACCAATGACTGCCTCGTCGAGCTTTGTTTTGTAGTGTAGGAGTAGGTTAGAAGAAAGTTAGGGGCGGCCAGACCAAAACATGGCAGAAATCCATGAAGTCATTGACAAGTGGACTGAGTCATGTCGGTAATTGTCGACTACCTTGTTGGGGGTCCGCGAGATGATAATAATCTATGGCTAGATACCCTGAATGACATGGCTCAAAATCGTTTGCAATGGCGCAAGTGCATCCACTCTTTGTGTTCTCTCAAATTCTAATCCTCTGGATTCTTCAACACGTCTAGTTTTGTCTTTCTAAACTTATCTCACTGAATCAGACTTCTTGAATAATATCTTCTAATTCTAACCTCTCCGATTACTTCTAATACCTTTACTACCTCTACTACTATTGGATTTGAATTGACAATTACATCTCTCTGTAAGCTAAATGTGGTATGGCAACATGAACTGATGTACTTATGTACAAAGTTCTACGTTGCAATTGACTGACTGAATAATACATAGTAAACAATTATCTTCTTCGATTTGGTTAAGACAACTTATAAGACTGATGTTACATACTCAAAGGTGAATACTGAGATTTATTGAAACCTTACCTTAGCTATGCGCAAAATCAAATGTTTTTGATGAGTTCAGAAACAGCTGACTCCCTACCTTGAACCTACCCCCATTTTATTGATTTATTATACAGAGTAATAACACTTATAATTGCCTGAACCTCTTCTGAAGTTAGCGCCGGTCCCTAACCCAGATAAATGGAAAGGGTCGGGCATGAGGCTAATAACCCAATCCCATGAAAAACAATCTTGCTTAACTAATGCTAACGAGAAAACAATTATTTAGAACATTTAAACTCTGCTCTGAAAGTTAGTAGAGTTATGACACCATGATGAAAGCGAAGTTTAGGGTTAGGGTGGGTGAGGTAGCGCAAAATCTCTAGATTGACCAGAGACGGACATTCACACCGTTGGATGCCGGCTCAGTGATCCACAAGTTAGGTTGTGGGTTCGAATCCTGTGCGACGTGCACGAGTCATGGATGCACACTGATGATACCAGGACGAAACTGGCCGTCCAGTGCTTCCAGGCTTTTAATGGTGGTCTAATAGTGATTGGTTGATTGATTGATGATTTCAATGTGTAAAAACACTAATCTACATAACTTTAATTGAAAAAATCGTACAATCTGCTTCACCAGTGATTAGCTTCATGAGGAAATTCTCGGAGTTCTAGTGAGAAGACGTGTGATCAGTGAAGTTCAACCATGTTGGGTGTAGGCAGTAACAACTACCAAAGACAAATCGGTGAGGTTTCGCAAAATCACTAGATTAATAAGAGTGAGGTACCGTTGGATGCCGGCTCAGTGGTCCAGAGTTTAAGCGTTCGCACGCAAGACCGATGGTCGCATGTTTGAATCCTCCGAGTAGCGGGAGTTGTGGACGCTCACTGCTGATAAGTCCTATACACTAGGGACGAAACGATCGTCTCTCAATGCTTCCTTATTTCTAATGGTTGGTCTCTAACAATGTCAAAATACTAACTAATTACACAATAATCAAGTTCACTCACTCACTCACTACCTACTTTAAAATGTAATTCCTCATCAAATTTAATTGAAACAGGACATATAAATCCATTGCCTGTGATCAATAATAAATCATGATGATTTGCAACATTGGATGATTGATTATTTTTCATTGATTCCAATGAGATGAGTTGATATACTTCTAATTGTTGACCGCATTGATTCAGTAAAGGTGAATGTTTATTGAATAATTTTATTGAACCAAGTAAGGCTAGCGTTTTTATATCCCATACACGTAGATCACCATTACGATGAAGTACAGCTAATTTTGGATTTTTTGTATTCATTGAACTTGGTAAAATAGTACCATCCAATGCAGCTTGATCAGGATCTAAAAGATGTTGTTATATACATAGGTAGGTGTGTAAACAACAGGTTTTAGTGAAGAATACTTTTAATATAAACGTATTGACATTAGACTTAACGTTATATACTATTGATGAGCAACAGTAAGGTGTCGATAACTAAGTTCCAATCAGTCAGTCGGTCAGTTACAATGTAGAACTTCATAGGTACGTACATACATCAGTTCAAGTTGCCATACCACATTGGCACACAGTGATGCCATGAATCGATCACTGTCAGACTACCATTAGAAACCTGGAAGCACTGGAAGACGGCCGTTTCGTCCTGGTATGGGACTCCTCGGAAGTGCGCATCCACGACTCCTGCACCCCACAGGATTCGAACCCAGGACCTTCCGTATTGTAGGCGAACGCCTAACCATCGGACCACTGAGCCGGTATCTAACGGTGTTAATGTCTAACTTGATCGATTCACGAAGTTGCGCAACCTCATACACAGTCTTCGGTAATTACTGTCTACACACGAACAGGTTGAACTTCACTGGTCACGTCTTCCCACTAGAACTCGGAGATCCCTCACGAAGCTTGTCACTAGTGATCGACTCATGGTTTCAAAAAAACTTAACAATCTTCACAACCCTGTAATGCATACAGTGATGCGATTGTCGATTCAAATCCCATACTGATAGATGTAATATACGTTTGGGCAGGACCGGAGAGATTCGGGTTTGAAGATACTATTCAAGAAGTAAAATTCAGTGAAATAAATCTGAGAATAGGAAGATGAAGGTCATGAGAAATTCGGAAGATCAGAATTAGGGAAAACACAAAGAATGGATGCACCTGCGTCATTGCAAACGTTTTTGAGCTATGTCATTCAGGGTCTCTAACTATCGTTTACTATTGTCTCGCGGATCCGATGTGTAGGTTTATGTTTCAAGACATGATGAGAGAAGCTGCGCTGGTCCTCTTATACTGACCAGCTGAGACCAAATGAATGACTACAGTTACATCCCATAAATAGAATTCAGCGATCTAACATATATTGATGGTAAGAGATCTTAAAATCTGTAGGCTGATGTCCAATTTAGCGTAAGGTTAGAATATTGAGAGCTCTATTATGCAGATTGGAAGACAAGTTCAGAAGACTCAGAATAAGACTTCGTGAAGCAGTGGTGGCATGCAGAGAAAAAGACGAAGTCATTGGAGAACGGTTGATATTAAGTGTAAAAGAAATATTAAAACATGCAGAAAGGATTACTTAGTAAACAAAGTAATACTGAATGTTATAGCCAGTGAGAAGTTGTTAATTCCCGGCTGCTGACATCGTAGAAAGATATTTCGTGAAGACAATTAAGAGAAAAGATGACCAGTAGTACACTTGTCTTAATGAACTGCGAAACTGACCACAGAGACACAGGAACAATTGATTGAAGCTGGTCACTCATGACCTTTATCATATGAGTATATTTTGATGTGTCAGCTCCATATTTTCAAATCCTCATTGCAGACAACGTTAAAAAGAAGCAGTGTGCGATTCCATGATCGATCTTTACTAGCCCCCAATGTGAGGAAGCTGAATCGCTGTAGATGTTGGTAGAAACTCTTTACTATCGTCATACCTCAACGCAGTTGTAAACAAGATTTTGCATTCAAACTTAAAGTTGTAATTTTTGGTTTAACCGTACTCTAAACGACCTGCCTGGCGTGGAACAACCAAACGGAAAACATTTTCTAGCCAATATAACTCATTTAGTTCATCATGATATCTGATCCTGACTATGATATCCAAGTAGGAGACATAATCAGGCAGTCAATCAGTCAGCTTTATACTTTAAAAAGTTTTTATTAATTATTTTATAATACCGTAGATGTCACCTTGACGTACTAGTTGGGATTGTCTATCGTGGTCGCCCAACCAAGCTTTATTGGCTAGAATATACGTTCCTGTAAGTTCTACCATGCCATGCAGGTCGATTGGGGGACGGTAAGACAGAAATCAGTAACTTAAGGTCTGAGGGTGAAGTAGTACTGCCGCCTGTATAGGGGTGTAACAGCAGTAAGATAATCCCCTCGAACAACCAGCGATGCTACCTTCTCAAAAGGAAGGAAAGGAATAGAAATAGTCGACGCTAAAAATGTCACACCTCACCTTACCTCACAGATATCTGTTTCTAGCGGTAACACCTTATGAAGAGCAGAGCTTTGCAAACTTCACATAAAAAGGCTATGTGAGACCAACCTCAAATTGTTGCCCTTAAGGCTCTGCGACCACCGACGCGAATCTGACTTCGTTTACAAGGTTCTTCAAGAAACACACTTCCAGGGTGTGGGTAACATCCGCCCTCATACCCATCACAGTACACATGACCGAATTGATCACCATCAAAAATCTCGCCTACACCACCCTCTAATATCATCTACCTTATCTTCACAACAACAGAGATGTTTTGAGGTGACAAAACAAAAAAAAAACCAAACATACCAAATGTATACGCCGTCGATAAACACTTTCCTTCATCGTTCAATATACTAGGACTTATTGCCCAATATGTGACATAACTTTGTTCATCACCAGCTAATAGTACAGCAGGATTTGGTGGTGGCCGTAGTACATTATTATTATTATTATTATTATTCACAGTATTTCGTACAGCATTCGATGGAGATATCCACCATTTCATCCAGAGTAAATCATTCACAGTGATTGTTCTTAATAATTTCCATTCTTTGGTATTATAACCATCTATGGAAGGTCTTAACCAAATATGAATTTTTCCTGACATATCACCAGTGGATAAATAATCACCAGTTGGACTGAAACTAACACAATGTACAGAATCATCATGACCTTTTTTAATGGTAAGTAAAGAGATGAGAGAAAACAATGAGACAAGAATAAATGTTAAGCCGATCATAAACACTTGATAATGAATACTGAAACAAGCAAAACGTTTACATCAGTGTTGTGTAACGACGCATTCAGTAATAATCATATTCTCAGTCAGTCAGTCAGTCAGTTACAATGTAAAACTTCGTACATACGTACGTACATCATCAGTTCAGGTTGTTATACCATATGATCACAAAGAGGCAATTTTCAATTCGAATCCCAAGAGTAGTAGAAGTAGTAAAATTATTAGGAGTTATCGAGAGAGATTAGGGTTCGACAATATTACTCAAGAAGTAAATTATATAGTGAAATAAACTTAAAATCAAGAAGATAAAGGTGATGTAAAATCCAGAAGATCAGGATTTGAGAGAACACAAAGAATGAATGCACCAGGGACAGTGCAAACGATTTCGAGACACGTCATTCAAGGTCTCTAACAATCGATTACTATCATCTCGCGGATCCCAACCAGGTAGTCGACACCTACTAACATGGTTCGGTCCAGTTGTCAGTGACTTCATGGATTTCTGACATGTTTTGGTTTGGCCACCCTTAGCTTTCTTCCAACCTATTCCTACACCACAAAACAGAGCTCGTCGAAGCAGTCGGTGATTGGACACTCGTAACACATGTCCCAACCACCTCAATTGATGCAGTTTCACTACTTCGTCTATTGATTTGCCATCCTTACCTAGCACCCATTTCTTAACAACCGTATTGTTTACTCGACAGTCCCAAGATAAACGAGCAATGCTTCGAAGACACCTATGATGGAAAACCAGTAACCTACGAATATCCTCTTCTCTTGCTGGCCATGTTCCACTCCCATTAAGTAGGAGAAGAAGCAAACTACTGCGCAGTACACTCGTCCTTTTGTCGGCAAACGGATATCTAGCCTACGCCATAGGTGACGCAGGTTGGCAAAAGCCAATCGAGCCTTCTGTATCCGTGCTGAGATTTCGTCAGTCACCAGGTCATCAGCACTGATGAGACTCCCGAGATAAGTGAAGCGACCAACACGCTCAACCATTTCACTCACCATCACAAGTTCAGATATAGAGGCAACCCAATCTTGAAGCAACATTTTGCATTTCGACGGCGAGAATCACATCCCGAAAATGCTTGCATTGTTGCTTAGGATGGTCAGAAGACTGCATTTTGTCAGCGTCTGTACCGAATAGAACTATGTCATCGGTGTAGTTTAAATCAACAAGCCAACCTCTGGTTAAAATTACAACTCATGATTAGTCAGACGATGGAAGTGTCGTATATAAAAGCGTCAGTGACGAAGTTAAATCAAAATGGAGAAACTAGACAACCATGACGAACACCACTTGAATTAATCTACTCCGATGACAATTCGCCATAAGCTCTCACTCGACCTGTAGTAGTATTCAAGTAAAGAGCTTGTATACGGTTAATGTACTTCTTCGGTACTCCTTTCAATGACAGAACACTGCCACAGAACCTCACGATCAACAGAGCCAAACGCCGCCTTATGGTCAAAGAGTACAACTACATATTTTAGTACATCTTTGGACCTAGAATTTAGTATTTCAGTACACATTAACCAAATTCAATGAAGTTAGGATATGATTGATAGAACTTGTAAACATTTACTAATTCTTAATTTCAGTCAGTCAGATGCAACGTAGAACTTCGTACGTAAGTACATCAGTTCATGTTGCCATACCACATCAGCACAGAGATGTAATTGTTAATTCAAATCCAATAGTAGAAGAGGTAGTAAAGGTATTAGAAGTAATCGGAGAGGTTAGGATTAGAAGATATTATTCAAGAAGTATGATTCAGTGAGATAAGGTTAGAGAGTCAAAACTAGAGGTGTTGAAGAATCCAGAAGATTAGGATTTGAGAGAACACAAAGAATAAATGCACCGGGGCCATTGCGAACGATTTTGAGCCATGTCATTCAAGGTCTCTAACCATCGATTATTATCATCTCGCGGACCCCTACCAGGTAGTCGACAACTCCCAACATGGCTCAGTCCACTTGTTAATGACTTCATGGACTTCCGCCATGTTTTGGTTTCGCATACGCAGCACATGTCGCAACCACCTCAACTGATGAAGTTTCAATACTTCATCTATTGATCTGCCATTCTTACCTAGCACCCGTCTCCTAATAACAGCGTTGCTCATTCGGGTAATTCAGGATATACGAGCAATGCTTCGAAGACACCTATGATCGATACCAATAACCGACGAATATCTTCTACTCTCACTGGTCATGTTTCACAGCCATAAAGTAAGACGGAGCGAACTATCGCGCAGTAGACTCGTCCTTTAGTCAGCAAACGGATATCTCGTCTACGCCAAAAGTGACGCAGGTTGGTAAAAGCCAATCGAGCCTTCTGTATGCGAGCTGAGATTTCGTCAGTCACCAGGCCATCAGCACTGATGAGAATCCCAAGATAAGTGAAGCGGTCTACACGTTCGACTACTTCACTCTCTATCACTAGAGTTCAGGTGCCGATGCAACCCAATCTTGAAGCAACATTTTGCATTTCGAGAGGGAAAACCATATCTCGAACATGCTTGCATTGTTGCTTAGGGTGGTCAGAAGACACTGCACTTGCGGACACTACTTGAAGTGAAGAATTTCGGTGACAGTTCTCCCCATAAGCTCTCACTCGACCAATGGTGTTCGAGTAGAGAGCTTGTATAAGGTTAATGTACTTCTTTGGTACACCTCTTCTCAATGACAGACACTGCAACACAACCTCACGATGTTAAATTCCAGCAGGCGTTACACATAAAACATAACCATACATTCATGATAACAATCATAATAATAATAATAATAATAATAATAATAATAACAATAACAACGTCAGCAAGTCTAACCTTGACAAATGAATTCCATATCACCTGTTTCTACATTCCATATTATAGCAATATGATCTTGTCCACCGGATACAAGATATTTACCAGTACTATCAAAATCTAGACAGAAGACACTTTCTGAATTCAATAAAAAAATTAATTTCTTGATTAGAAAATAGTTAGGAAATACAATAAATAAATATTAGACATAAATAGTAACCGTTGACTCTAGTGTAGTGAAAGAGAACACAGGTGAGGGCAACCGAATTGTATTTAACGAGAAATTACACAGTTACTCAGTAAAATTGGAAACTCATATATCGTAAATCGTTCATTTGCAAAATATCAGTTCATCATATCGAACTGGACTGTTCCTGTTGCAAATCATCAACAATCCATTGTCACTATTCATGCGTTTCATAAACACATTCCATTGTGTTCCCGCTCTTCCTTGCTCTTGATCTTCCCCTATCTTCTGCTGCCACCAGACATTACGTTGACACTCACGTCATATACTACTTATAAATAGCTCACACCACACTAGGGATTACAAGCAGATTGTACAATTTTTCATGTGAGTTACACAAGTTGGTAGCTGGAAAAAACGATTCTCTATATGTCATGATAAATCTTTTAAAAGTAGATATCAATCAAGAGAACTTTTTCCAGTGATTTAACATCATATGTTATGCTTACTAAATGGCTGCACACTTAATAGATTTGTCTGTATCAGAGGTATCAATACTACTTATACTGACTAAACTATAGTAGGTTAGAGTGCAGTTCGAATCGATGGCTAATTGAATGGGGAAACTGAGAGAGAGTATTCCTCTACCTGTGTGTTGTTTGGTGTGGTAATATATCACATCCTCACAAAGATACGACTGAAATGAAATATGTTATTTAACGTTTTCGATGGCTTTTAGTGACGATAACTAGACGAAAGTAGTCAAGCCTTAGACTAGAAAAACATGACATTGTTCACTAGTCAGTAATCAACCAAAAGTAAACACCACAGTCTTACAAGTCAGTCACGATTCAGTTAGGTCAGTGTTAATTTTTTATACTATGGAGTTGCTTGCTGTGGATTCGACTCATCCTCTGAGAAGGATTAATTTCAGAAAAATTACGGACACCATGCTGACGAGTGCCAAAACGGCACAAACCTAGGCCCAGTATTTCTTGCTGACTATCTTCAATCAGTTTGCCAGACACCTTCAGCAAAAGCCTACTGTAGGAAAGAACAAACTAGATACCATAAGAGGAAATCTGGAAGAATAGCTAGAGGTGGATAGGATATGCATTGTGGAAAGCACCCAACTATGTCACAAGACAAGACCTCATTTAGTGTCCTCAAGTTTAAAGAGGAAGGCCAAGGAATACATTACGCCGAGAAATGGAGGCAGATGAGAAGAATGCAGAAAAAATTGGACACAGCTGGAAAGAGAGGCCCAGAACAGAGTAGGATGAAGAACTTTGGTTGGAGGTTCATGCTCCATTGGATGTAATAGGCGTGCCCAAGTAAGTAAGTAACCTTCAGTCAGCAAATATCTAGACGTACTGTACAGGATATCAGACTAGTGGCTACTTCGCAACTTAATCGACAGAATACGATCAGCATTTATGAGGATCAGACAAGTAAAACATTCATCACCACTCAATATATAATCAGGCAATGAAGAATAATATCACATTGATAAACTAAACGAAAAAGATTTCTTATGCATTTATTCAACATATAGATTGTGAATAACTGTATTAAGCTCCACTTTGGAACCTCATTCCAATCATCTCGATTAAGTGTTTGATTGTGTCTACAGGCAATAGCCAACTATACCACGAGATAAATCACAGGAAAGTAGTTGAACGTCTAAAGAAATAAAAGAAATTGGTTACCACGATCTGTTAGTCAATAGGCTACAACGTAGAACTTCGTACGTACGTACGTACATCAGTTCAAGTTGCCATATCACTCACTACATTAGCACAGAGGAATCAAATTGTCATTCAAGGTCTCTAACCATAGGTTACAATTGTCTTACAGATCCTAACCAGGTAGTCTACACCTATCTACATGGCTCACTCTGTAGGTTAGAAATGATGACAACCATAAGAAATGAGAGTACATTAAGATTTATTGTGGTCATAAGTTTAATTAAGTAAATCCACAGTAGTAAGATGGTTAGTGAAGACTAAGTGATATAACAAGACACAATAACAAACCTTGTGAAAGTGTTACAGCCAATTTGATACATATAACCTAACTTTAGCTTCTGGTAGATCTTGAAAGATTAACAATGCTTTTCTTCATGACCACGGAGGAATAAATTTGGTGCTTAAGATAGTCAAATTCATCATCATATCATTCTGTATCCAGTTGCAACTGAAACATTATTGGTCTTGTTATCAGAGTAGACTGCACGGAGGTCAGCTGACAGACTCTTTCAAGGTGAAGACCGGTGTCAGTCAAGGTTGCTTACTCTCACCCTTTCTCTTTCTCCTGGTCATCGACTGGATTATGAAAACGTCGACGTCTGGAAGGAAGCACGGTATCAACTGGACAGTTAGGACGCAGCTGGACGATCTGGACTTCGCAGATGACTTGGCTCTTCTATCGCACACTCAACAACAAATGCAAGAGAAGACGACCAGTGTAGCAGCAGCCTCTGCAGAAACAGCAGGTCTCAACATACATAAAGGAAAAAGCAAAATTCTCCGATGCAACACAACATGCACCAACCAAATCACTCTTGATGAAGATGCCTTGGAGGACATTAACACCTTTACATATCTGGGCAGCATAATCGACAACCAAGGTGGATCCGATGCAGATGTGAGGGCACGGATTGGCAAAGCGAGGGCTGCATTTCTACGGTTGAAAAATATCTGGAACTCCAAACAACTTTCAACCAAAACCAAAATCAGGATTTTCAATACAAATGTCAAGATAGTTCTACTGTGTGGAGCGGAAACTTGGAGAACTACGAAAACCATCATCCAGAAGATACAAGTGTTTATGAACAGTTGTCTACGCAAAATACTCCGGATTCGTTGGCCAGACACCATCAGCAACAACGAACTGTGGGAGAAAACAAACCAGATTCTAGTGGAGAAGGAAATCAGGAAGAAGCAGTGGAAGTGGATAGGACACACATTGCGGAAAGCACCTAACTGCGTCACAAGACAAGCCCTCACATGGAGCCCTCAAGGCAAAAGGAAAAGAGGAAGGCCAATGAACACATTACGCCGAGAAATAGAGAAAGATATGCGAGGAATGAACACACACTGGAAAGAACTGGAGAGGGAAGCCCAGGACAGAGTTGTTTGGAGAAAACTGGTGGGCGGCCTATGCTCCATTGGGAGTAACAGGCGTAAGTAAGTAAGTGTCTGAGTAGACTGTGTTACATGAAGGTATCATTTGACATTATCAAGTTTTTAATAATTTAATCAAAACAGTTTAGTCTGTTTAATTCAATCACAATCTGGCAACATCATGTCGACAGTGAATTGTACATTTTTTTAACAGAGCAATCATCGACAACAGAAAACATTTTAGTACTGTATTTCAACATATTCTACACAAATTCGTTGACTAGTTACGACTGTTTTTTTCATCGTTTTTGTGACAATATTTAAAATGTACAAATCATTGTGTTAAATTAGACAGACAGATACAGCACAGAACTTCGTACGTACGTACATCAGTTCACGTTGACATGCCCCACCAGCACAGAAACGCAACTGTCAGTTCAAATCCAACAGTAATAGCAATAATAGAAGTATTAGCAGTAATGGAGAGGATTAGGGAGCGAAGATATGATTCGAGAAGTATAATTCAGTGAAATAAATTTATAGAGAGAGAGAGAGAGAGGTGATGAGGAATTTAGGAAGTTAGAATTTGAGAGAATACAACGAATGAATGCGCCTGCGCCATTGCAACCGATTTTGAGCCATGTCGTTCAAGGTCTCTAACCATCGGCGACTTACGTCTCACGAACTCCAACCAGGTAGCCTACATCTACTAACATGACTCAGTCCACCTGTCAGTGACTTCATGGATTTCTGCCACGTTTTGATTTGTTTGTGTTAGATTACAACACACTAATTCATTCGTCAACGATACAAACAGGCAACGCATCTCCTTACATCAACTAGTAAGCTAAGGTCACTCATTCCTCCGCATTCCGACCGTCATTTAATTCTATCCTCCTTATTCCTTACATGTGGTTTCACTACGCTTTGACTATCCTCAATCTGAAAGGTGTTAAGGGCAAAAGCACTGTCCAACTCTAAATATCCGCAACATTCTCATGTATATTGAACAGAATAATACAATCTACTGTTAGTTTATAAACAAACCTTTATGCCCTGTAAGTAATTTGTAGGTATCATCTTGAGGAGGTGTAACGTGCTGTACAACATCCATACTATTCTCCATCACTTCAACTTCTATAAATTGAGAATTTTTTTAAGAAAACAAGACAATATAATTTCACAGTTAAATAAATGTATTTGTCTGAATTATAGACAATTCCATATTAAGGTTTCCTGGTAATGAACTAGTTCTATCCAAGCAAGCCAGTAAAAGGATACGTAGGAGAATTTTGAGGTGAAATCCTTCAGTAAACTTGATGTATCGATACAGAAGACGATATATTGGTCGACCGACAAACTGAACAATGCGATGTAGAGTAACATCTTGCGCAGAATAGAGGATATTTTAACGCTACTTGACATTGCCAAAACTGATACGCTATATTACTGTAAACAATGACATAGTACCGACATCCTGTTCAAGATCAACGTATATTAATTGTGGTCTTCTAGCACATCGGCATTTACTTATGACTTTGAGAGGAATCATACAATTCGAAATCTTGGAAAAGTCTATTTTCTGTTCTAGTTATATGTAGCCATAAGAATGGCATTCGTTAACGATTGCGATCATAGTCAACGAACTATATTCATAAAAACGAGATTTCAGCCCTAGTCTGCTATGAACATATGCTTGTAATGCTGTGTAAAGCTGACTTACACTAACCTACCTATTCATGACCAATCACAGTGTACTACCTACCAACATGGGTTTGCATAGAAATGCTACTTTGTTTGCAGACTCAAACGAAGCTACCACACAACAATGAACAGACAGATTGATGTGTACAAAATGACTGGGGCTCTGCAGTTGATAGGCTAACTTCAAGCCGAGGTAAGTAAGCAACAGGCAGTAACATGGACAGTCAGTCCAAAGGACTACTTACAGACAGAATATCGTACTTAATAAAACAGTTGGCAAAGAAATCAACACAATCCATGTGATAACATGGTTAATTTGGAGGGTCAGGGAACATGACTTGCAAGTTAGACGAGCAACACGTTGAGGGGTGGCCTGGAGACCAACCGTTGCAAGAAACCTCTGGATACGGGAAGCACGATTCACTCGTCGGAGTTGAACGCAAAGCGGCACTCACTTGGTCGAAAAGATACGAGTTGACTTAAGACGATCATTTCGGGACTACTGGCTTACTGCCATGAAACAAACAACCAAACAACAAGTTCTTGAATCTCCCAGCAACCATACACTCGAATATACCAACGTTAAGCCTATTCTTGATTCAGGAGTTGCTACTTCGGAACATTAGCTACACGAACAATAAGTACCAGTGATGACCCTCCGCTGGACGATTTATTGTCTTACTAGTGAAATTAGACACATGATTCCTAATAGTGACATGAGCATACAGCACAATTCAGTAAAAACTACTCACCATTGGCAGATTCGTTATCAGAGTCATCCACAGTTTGGTTTTCATCTTCAATCCACTCTACATCCCCATCCACAAATTCAACGTCGTCCGGTTCACTTGCCTAAAGAATAAATGACGAGTTACGGCTTTCCTAACTGACGTTATAATCAAAACTAAGTTGCTTCATCAATTAATACTCAAATACAACGACCATGTCTCATACCCACAAAAAACAATAGAAGAAAACATCAGTGTGGAAAAAATTTATTAGTATTCCCACAAAGTTACAAGGGTTTGATAGTGATATATTCACTTGCTCCTTTCCCTCATTTTCCTTCGTTTGCGCTTCAGTCTCCTCATCCTCTTTTTACGCCATTTATCACGCATCTAGTAATGGAAGTAATCACACAATGACCAGACTTACCACGCCAAAATGAACGAAATTTGTTATGCCCCACCAGTCAACCGAACGCGTTAAAACACACTTAGTATTCAAGGTACAATCGCCTGAGATGAATATTCAACATAGTAGCTGTTTGGATATCTATCTTGTCAAGAAGACAAGCTGTGCTACCACATAGTGGTATTGCTCTTATCTAGCATCTTTTTACGTAGTAAATGTAAAACTTTCTTACTCATTTGAATGTTCAGGAAATAACATTTAGGTTTAACTACAGTATCTTCCAAAGTAAAATAAATATCAAAGCTGCTTTTGAAGAAAGTTTCAGAGATCAAAATATTCATCCTCCCCATGAGTATTTTCTATAACTTACAGGTTCTGACAACGAAGCATTGGCAAGCATTTCTTCGAATACTCCCTGACGTTCTACTGTAACCCATGTGTATTTTTGTACGGTGGTAAGGAATAATATTTGTGATCCTTAAGGATCAGGAGGACTATGGAAAAAAAGATTTTTAGGGTTCAGAGACTCCCTACTCTTTAGTACAGAACAGGTGAGCTGAGTATCATTCATTTGTTCGTCTGAATACTTGTTTTATCACTTTTCTTTAAATTTCCTTCTCAGGATCAAGGGTAACGATCTATGAGCTGTTACAAATGTGGTCATATTTTAACACAAGAAATGTCTTGAACGGAACAAAGATCATGGCATTTTAAGTTTTTGAGAGGTTACAGAATACGATAGAATGTGACAATCCTGTTACTTCATCTAAATGGTAAAAGGATAATTTTAAAAAGTAGAGGAAAAATATATTTGGATAGTGAACAAGGGTATTGTAGTACATTACTTTCTAGGTGGCTTGTTGTATGGACCTATACGTTCGGCTAGGAGATGAAATAGGATCTGCAGTGGATGCCTGACTGAGTGCCTTCAGTTGGTGGTTTCCAGGGAAACTAATCTGGTCGTCATCAATGTCGACTACCTATTAAAGTATTTATTTTGAGTAGTTACTTCTATGTACGACGGTCAAAAGAAAACAGATGCTGTATGTTAGTGATTGCCTTGAGAGCATGGCAGTTTTCTGATATGCGGTGCTAGGATATCACGTTTAGCAAATGAAAGCGAGGTTAAAAAACCGAGTTGACGGATTACAAACCCTAATTCTTCTAAAACGCCTACCGTTGTCAATACATCGCTAGTCAGACCTAACAAAAATTGTCACCAACCACTAATAGACGAAGTTCTAGAAATGGCAGACTGATTTATAGATATCCTCATCCAAGTTACGTGAAGCCGATATTACCTTATAATCCCGCAACATATCTGCCAAAATGTGCATTCATCTTTAAACTGTAAAATCATCAG